TGGTACTGTTTAAAACACTATTGGGTGGAGCTTAGGATGCAGCAGTGGCGTTCCTGAAAAACACTGACAAGGGAATTGTTTTGGTGGAACAGTTTGAACACTGGGAGGCGGGAACTGCCATTAATATAGAAAACTCACCAAGAGAACCAAAGCTTCATCAGAACTTTCTATTTTCAGTGTGTAGGTTGCTGCTCACAAGTTGTTGTTTCCCGTAGTGAGAAAGGTTTTGACAACAGTTATACATGGAGGAGAAAGTTGCGTTAAACATGGCAGGTTCGTACCAAACTTTTATACTCGGCGAGTCAGACTGAGGTCGTATAAACTCTGACGTTATGTCCAGTTTAGACTGCAGGATGTTTCTGTCAGATTGACTGAATAAACAGGTTTAAAATCTTATACTAGAGCTGAATTATCTTTACCGTTGCATCGTCTAAATTACAAGTTCTGCAGTTTAGAGATATTTAGTTAAAAGCGTTACAAAGCAAGAAAATATGGAAAGTACACTTCGAAAAATAAAGATGCTGGAGTGTTTCTTCAAAGTTATATCATAGAAGAACCATTCTTAGTTGCACAAGGAGCATTTTAGCAAGAAGTTCTTTAAAGGACTATTTCTGAAAGGAGCATCAAAAACCATAAACAGCGCTTCAAATAAATTTAGCAAAAATAGGTTCTTTAAGGAACCACTTTCAACATAGTGCTTTGTGCACCCATCTGGTTCAGGAAAGAACCTCTTTGAAGTGATTCTTCGGTTACTTTAAAAAAAAAAAAAAAAACGTTCTTTGAGCATTCTAAATGTAATTATTACGTGTAGATTGAAACACAAGCACAGGAACACAGCTGTTGGTCATTTATTAACAATCGTTGTCACTTCATAGATTTACTCGTCTCATGTAGTCAGATCATTCTCCGGCACTCACACAGTTCTGTAGAATGAAGGTTTGAGAGCGGATTGAAGGAACCCATTTATTTTAAGCTGGAAATGCCATAACTATACAGAGAAGTAGGTCTATGACATCACTAATGCAGTACTCATAATGCCGTCCTGAGACTTACCACCATTAACATACTGAGATACACCTCACCAGGCGGTTTCACAACCATCCACACCTCGATTCCTGTGAGGAATGGGTCTTAGTTTAATAAACACATCTGTATGAAGACAATAAAGGGTTTCATAATAAATATCTGACACTCCCCATCAGTCAGAACTGAAGAAACCTTCAGCTGCTAGCTAACCATCTGCTAAGACTAAGACTGACCTCTCCTAGATAACTTATAAGAGGTATGTATAGGAGTTATAAGAGGTAAACTTCTAGAAGATAAGATGGAAGCAAGGGGGACGAGAGAACAGGATGGAAGAACAGGTGAGATCATTAGTTCCACTTCTGACATTTTCAGCTCATCCCCTCATTCTGCATAATTACATACAGTTGGTTTATACAGGTATGTGTCTACGTAAACATTCAATTATACATGAACCTTTAGATTCTGACGTGCTACATACTCCAGCATGTTGGTATGAACATTATTTTACCATATTGATGTTCCTGAAAATCCCAAATCCTCAGTGTTCTCGGTTCTTTTGTTTTGTACAGTGAACAAGATAATAAACCATTTTAAAAACAAACAACAACAAAAAGACAGTTACAGTGGTATTGACTGTAAGAACTTTTACAGGCCACTCTTAAAACCCTGAAGGTACATTAGTGTGACTGTAGCATAAAAATGTCCTCCAACGCTTCTTCTTCTGTTCATGCTTCATTACAGCAACACAAACAACTGGCAAAAACAAGCTTTTTTTTCACACACCGATCGATTTAAGATTTGGGGATATTTTGCTTCCACAAGAAGTCGCGATTTCCCCCTCAGGGATCAATAAAGTGTTTCTGATTCTAACGTCCACTAGTGAAGAGAAAACATCCAAATTACACGACAGTGTTGATTTTACTAGTTTGTTTGTTTGTGTCTATAGATAATTACACATATCTTTAAAGAGTGTGTAGTTCAAATGAGTTTTTCCTCCTACTCGATCGTTCTTTTCCTGTCTGTATTCTGGAGGTTTTTACAAATGACTTGGTTTATGTATCATCCACAGCCTGATCCAGATACAACATTTTATTCCTAAAAGCAAAGAGAAAACGCAGCTTTTCCAGGCTGCTGACAGACAGGAGATTAAAAACCCTCTCAGTAAAAACCTTTGAATATAATAGATTAACAAAATTTTTAAAATGTAGAATTTTTAAGCCAAGTGGATCTAATGTTCAGATTTTTGTTCAGGAAATTAATGTAAATTATTGTCTATTGAATGATATAACAGCTCGTTTGTACATTTAATCACAGCATTTAAGAAAACCTGTAAATAAAACAAAATGTGAGAAATCAGCTGGTGAATTTTTGAAGTTCAGTCTCATGTAGTGTCTCCACATAAGTAATAAAACGTTCTTAATTTATTTGAAAATGGACATTTTCATGTCTAAAAATAAATATCCATGAAGGTGATTAGTTCACATTAACGTCAAGCTTCAAATCTTTTCTCAGGTGAAGTCAGTAACGCTGCTGCTGTGATGTTACATAAGAAGTTAAATAAACAGATGTTAAAGTGAGGCTTTTTCTATTTTGTTTGCTTGTTTCAAAAAACATGTTTTGCAGAAACAGAGAAGCATCTTAAAACCCAAACGTGTTTATTTGATGCTGGACTCAACATCTTCACCATCATCAGTTCGTGTAGGAAGAAAAGGGCCGTAAAATCCAAGACTTTATGAATGGAGTTTGGTTTAGAAACAGTGGCGGTCCATTACTGATAGTTCAGTCTTTCTACCGTTAGCTTGTTAGTTCATTAGCTTCTTTACTTGTTAGCCTGTAAGCTTCATAATCTGTTTATCTGTTAGTTCTTTAGCTTGTTAGTCAGTTAGCCGGATACACTTTTACTCTGAGAGCTTGTTAGTCCATTAGCTTGTTTAATTGTTAGTCTGTGAGCTAGTTAACTTGTTTGTCTGTCAGTCAGTTGCCTGGTAGCTCGTTAGTCTGTCTTTGTGTTAGCTGTCCATTGGCTTACTTGTTAACCTGCTAGCTCGTTGCTCCGTAAGCTAGTTAGCATGTTAGTCTGTTCCCCTGTTTGGTGTCCAAATCCTTGTATACTGTAGCTAGCTATCAATAAACTGCTTAAAACAAACAAACAAACAAAAAGAGTTCACCAAAGCAAGTGGAGAAGGTAAATGGTTAAAATAAGAGGATGTGAGTAACAAACCTCTAATGTTTCTACACCAAACTCCAGTCATACAATCATGGATTTTACTGTCCCGGTCTTCTTCCACAAACTGATGAGATGTTGAGTGCAGCACCAAACTGTGGAGGCTGACGGCTGAGCTCACCCACCAAGTGTGGATGACACAGCTTCCTCTGGTCTGAGTTATGTTTATTAAACCACCAAGTTCATCTTTATCTTTAAGTCTTTAGATATCGATGAAGTGAAGCATATGAAAACCTCTGTGTGTCTGATCCTCTCAGGTTTCTGACAGGGCAGGAGTGTTAGGTTTACACAGGTTGGATAGGTGATATACTTGATACAGGACGCTGCAGGTGGGCAAAAATAATAGTTGATGTTACCTCTGCAGCCCAGTGGACCTCAATTCATTGGCATTCTCACTAAATACACAGTTAATAATGTGCAGATGGACACTTTCAGGTAATGAACTTCAAGTAAACAGGTGAAAATCATGTGTTTCAAAAGACAAGAAGCAATTTTACACCATTAACTGACAGAAAACATCAATAATAAAGAACTTTAACAGTGTTATCTGCCTACAATGTTTTAGACTGAACAGTGGTTTTTGTCCTGTGTACAGCTGCACCAATGTAAGAATGCTAGCTGTTAGCCAAGAGATGATAATAACCATGCTAGGAATGCTAGTGATTAGCTAACCATGCTAGTCTTGCATAGTCAGATCATTCTACGCAGCACTGTGTAGAATGGTCTGATGGCACTTCACTGTCATTCTGTTAGACAACCCAAAGCAAAAGCATGTGACTCGCAGTGATGTGAGGACTTCCTAACGGACTAATTTTTTATTTTTATTTTTTTTGCACCAAAACAAAGTGGACATTGAGTGTTTGTAGGATGATGTTAAATTTCAGCGGTTCTGCAGATTTAACAAGGTGACTTTAAAATCTGTGGGGACCTGAGAACAAAATGTAACACCTGACTGATGATCAAACATCCAAAGGATCAGTAAAAACCAGCAGGACTTCATTCACCTGGTTATCAAGACTGACTTTGTTCGTTACAACAGAAAACCATCCTCAGCGGTTTTATTATCGGTTATTCACGGTTAGAATTATTCTCATCTCAGATTAAATTTAATATTGTAACTTTTCGGTCTAAAATGAGACGTCTAAGACGATGTTTAAACCAATCAGGAGCTGCAGACACTTTTAGAAAGTCTGTGAAACTGTGTTTGACATTTTTGTAGAAATTAACTCAGAAAAAATGAAACTGAAACATAGAAATCTAAACATTTTGCTCAGTAAAATGTCACATTTAAATAAATATCACAATTTCCTGTAATTCAGGTGTGAGGGGTCCTAATCGTAGTCTACAGCTGATTGGTTGACTGACTGTGCTGACACTCAGATCATAAATAGACAGAAATAAATCCTACATATTTATTTCAGCCTTTTTTTATAATCAAATTTTTTCTTTTTTTTTCTTCCATTAAGTCATTTCTCATCCTTTGATATCTAACCAGAGAGAAAATGAAAGGATCCACAAACACAATGAAATTTCCAATTTATTGGCTGGATTTTAAGCCAGTTTTGGTTAAAAAAAAAAAAAAAAGAACTCAAGAAGACAAACTTGGTAGCTGATCTTACAGCGCACAGCAGGCTGGAAAAATATTAACTTTTTTAATTTTTTTTTTTAAACCTAAAATCGGTGTTTTGGAAGTTTTGAAGCCCTGCAGAGACCCTGAATGTGTGAACAGATTGAAAACACTGAGCTCTGCTGTGTTTTTTCAGCTATTTATTTTCAGTACTCAGCAGTAAGGGTTATAGTATATGGACAAGTTTTTCTGTTAAGAAATGAATTATCAAAACATAGTTTATAAAAGTGTATAGTAAGCATTACATATATATGCATGGAAACAAAAAGTTAGAACTTCAAACAAAAAAGGGGGTTATAGTTGTTCCAAACCAATCTTCTTCTTCTTCTTCTTCGTTTCTAAAAGCTACTTGAAATGCAGGCGGGAAAGTGTCCAAACAGAGAGAACCAACCGTGGTGGAGGGAGAGAATGGCAAAATAAAAATAGAGAATGTACAGTTATTATTCTGTGTTCTAGATCACATGGACTCCTACAGCACTTGACGGTCACTGCACGGCTTTCACTTTTTATCTTTTTTAAACTAGCACCAGTGCTCCTGAAAACGCTGACAGACGCTGTTTGAAACTCCAACAGTCCAAATTAAATAAAAGAAGGAAAAGAACACCAATAAATACAAGAGGTTACCATAACGTGGAACATAAAAAAGGTGATGAGGACCGTGGGGGGAGGGGTTCAGTCAAACTCGGCGAGAAGATAAATATGGAAGAAGAGAGGGATGATGGGAAGGCTCGGTCACAACATCACTTGATAAAAGAAGGCAAGAAGTTTCCACTGTTCAACACAGCAGAGTGTGGTGAGTCCGTCAGCTCCACAGAGCAGGGCATTGTGGGTAGAGGAGGGGGGTGTTTACATCAACACAGCTCTAAACTCACACATCCTAAAGACTAGCGCTGTCCATTACAAGTGTTAATAATAATAATAATAATAATCATATAAATAAATGCATTACTACAGGATCTGTCGTCTTTTTTCCTTCTCATGAAACTGCAGAACAACGATTACAATACAGGGACTCAGGCCCGACAATATACACCACCGGCTCCTCACGCCTTCTTTGCTTTTTTCAGTCAAGTCAGAGACAGATCAGGGCCGATCGCCTCCTGCTCGCACATGTGGACGCTGAGAACCGAAGCTCGAACCGAAACTTGAACCTGCAGGATGTCATGGCCCGATTCTCCTGCATGACTGTCGGACTCAGTACAGACTGTCGTGGATAAATGACGAGATGCTGATTATTTTCCTGAAATCAGCTCGACACTGTTCACGTAAAGCTGCTGATAACAGCTGGATATCTGAAGTCTCTTTACATCTGACTGTAAACTCCAAGATTCAGTTTCACCTTTAAACCTTCACAGTTACAGTATTCGAAACAAGGCGTCTGAAAATTCATCTGAAGCCGACGAATCTCTTATTGAACCCTTCGATTATTCACTATTCAGCATTTTTCTGATTAACGTTCTTTTTTTTTAAACACATTCCCAATAAAAATTACTGAAAAACACTGGTTCTGATGCAGCTGCCTCGAGAACCTGATTCGTAACCAGTAAACATCAATCAGCACTGAGGGATAAATGATGAAAAGTATTCTGTTAACCATTGTAGGTTTTGTGTTTCATTTTGTGCCATTATGAATTTTTACATCAAGATTTTAATTTTTACTGAAAAAATATCTCAGTTCCAAATATTGCTCTTTAATTAATAATAATTAGTAATATCAGCCCTGAAAAACTATCACTGCTGACGTTACTAACATGTGTTAACATGGAACCCACTGAAATGTTCCAACATCATAACATCTGCAAAACGTGACGCTAATGACTAATTATTAGTCAATACTTTAAGCGACGAAAAACATTAACTGATAAGGCAGAAAAGGAAGGTTATGCATGTCAGAAAATGTTTTGTTGATTAGTTGTAGTACCTGGTTGTTCCACCAGGTGGAACCTCTTGGAAAGCAGAGAGCATTGTGGGGGTTTAGCTAGCAACAGGCATGAGGAAAAAGACTTCTGTGATGGTTAATATTAAACAAGTTGAAAATGCGCTGTAGTTTAATGGGACATTGTTCCTATAGGCAAGTGGCTAACATAACCAAGCTGATTCACAACAAATGATACATGTTCAGCAAACAGAAAAATGTCTATTATCCCTAATTAAGTTGATTACTGACTAACAACAAGGCTGACTATTGATTTAGAAAACTGATTAATATTTGCATCTCTAGAGGGACGACACCTCTGTTTATCTACCGTTCAATGTCTTCATGTTTTGGTTACTCAGGAAGGACAAGTTCTATAACCTGCAGCAGCAACAAGTTGCCTTCACTCAGTCTGTGTTTAGGTGTAGTGGATCATGTTTTTGCTACTTTGAACTGATCCAACACGACGCAGACTTTTAGGGCTGACTTATTTGACGTTTATTCATCAATTATTGGGAGTTGAACTAACTAATGTCAAAGATTGTTTCTGCATTTTGTTCAAAAAGGGGAGTGTAAACTTTTCAAACTGCAGCTCAACAACCAAAACTAAGCTAAAGCATCTGTGTTATATTCTTCAATGGTCCTTGTGTTGGATACCCAGTTCATACATCTTCAAAAATCCTATAAATAAGTGCAGTTACTCTACTCCCAGTCTGTTCTCGTCATTTCAGCATAAACTAACCAGGGTACAGTGATTCAATGTGCTGCTAATGCCAGCTGGTAATGTAGGTTTATGATTCATTCAGAATGATAATCTGCAGGTAGTCACTCAAAGCTCTGTTCAACATTTACTTAATCTACTGATAAACAGATGACTTTTAATAATTTCTGTGGTCAGTCATTTGGTTGAAGAGCAGCTATGATTTCAGTCCACCAACACTTTCTTTGGTTCAATACAGACCTAATGTTTTTACTTTAAGTTAAAGTGAGTCAGGATTGTTAGTGAACATCACAGAGCTGATTGATCGCTGCATCACCGATTGCTAAACAATAAATTACAGCTTTAGTTCCACAAAAAAGGTGGAAAAAAGGACATTTTAACAAATAAAAGGTTCAAGAAGAGATTCAAACCTTCCTGACTGACAGGTCGGTTCCAGCTTTGAATCATATGAGACGTGACCTCTGCATGAACAGTCACTTGTTGGGATTCACTGTAGAAACTCTGCTTCAGCTCAACAACAAACACTGGAGAGACAACAGGAACCTTCAACAACACTGAATGCAAACACCAAGTAATTTTTGAGCAGCTGATCAAATCAAACTTTAAGGAGCTGCAGGAGAAAATTGAAATGCTTAATTTCAATACTTCACCAAAAAAAAAAAAAAAGAAAATGGCAGTTCGGTCCGCGTCGCAGCTCAGAGTCCACATGTGAGAACAAGGAGTCAGGAAGCTACGAGAGTATGAATGTGCTGCAACACACACGCTCGCGCGCACACACACACACACACACACACAGACACACACATTTAAAGCAGACCCTCAGACACCAAAGTCTTCAGTCCTAAAAGTTCCCACAAGTCTTTGCTGCCTCCTGCCAAAACATGAAGGTACAAAAAACAAATTGCCCTGACTCTCTATATGTTGGTGATAAAAACAGTTTGTGTGAATGTGGTTTAAAAACACTGTGACAAAGGCCACGAGAACATTTCATCCACACAGAACTCCTGAAAACACCGTCAGAGACAGGATGGAGGCGGGACACAGAGAAACCACTTGCAGCAGCCCACCAATCAGCTCCCGGGGCTGAAACGAAAACAAGCAGAGCCCCAACAGTCGCCATCGCGAGTCTCTACGAGCTGGGCTCAAAGAACCAGTCTGGATCAGCTCAGTCTCTGCAACTGTGTGGGGCCCAGCGAGGAGGAGTCCGGCTGTACAACATGCAGCAGGTGTAAGGCAGGTGCAGTGAAGTCCATCAGTCTACAGTCCAGTCTGCCTGTCAGTCAGTGTGTGGGGCAGCCGGACTCCACCGTGCCTCGTGGGAACGTCGGCGAGCGAGGGAGTGTGTGTGTGCGTCCTCCATTTTGAGTCCTCTGTGTGTGTGTGCAGCGTCCATATTGTGGTCAGAGTCTGTCGTCATGCAGCCGTCCTCCACACACACCACAGCCACACATGGACAACCACAAAGAGGAGGAAGGCTAAGCTACGATTTGGCACCTCCAGAAACCTTGGCATGTGACTCTCCCCCCCTCCCCCCACCCTCACCCACAGCTTATATGAAGGGGCCGCCGGGCATACCCAGGAAGTTGGGCGCACCCATTGCCATGGGAGGGGGCGCCGTCGAGCCGCTCCAGTGCACCTTCATGTGGTGCCGCAGGTTGGACTTGGAGGAGAAGCGTTTGTCACACTGCTGGCAGGAGAACGGCTTCTCCTTGGTGTGGATGCGGCGGTGGCAGATGAGCTGCGTGGACACCCGAAAGGACTTCCCGCAGTCGGGGCACTGGTAGCGCTTGGGCTCGGTGTGGATGCGCCGGTGGTTCTTGAGGGACATTAGGTTAGGAAACTCCTTCTGGCAGGAGTTGCAGAAGTAGGTGCCAGTCTTGTGGCTGTTCTTGTGGTTGAGCAGGGAGCTGGCATGGCGGTAAGACCGCCCACACTGGTCGCACACATGGGACTTAATGACCTCACTGTTGCCCCCTCGGCTGCGAGCTTTGGCCATGCTGCCGGGGTCAAGTCCTTGCTCTTGCATCAATGTAAGGTCCAGTCCCGACCCCCAGCCCAGCTCCTGGGAGCCCCCCGGACGGGGCTGCTGGGGTCTGGGCTGGCGGGGCTGTGGTGCCTGGCCATGGGTGATCTCCATGTGGAGCCTGAAGCTGGCCTGCGTGGGGAAGGCTCGCTGGCAGGACCGGCAGGTCAGCTCCCGCTGCTTTTGGTGGACGCGTCGGTGGTTGTAGAGTTGAGAGGAAACACGGAAGGCCTTCCCACAGTCGTGGCAACGGTGGCGCCGCGTCTCTGAGTGGATGCGGCGATGGTTCTTTAGGGCGAGCAGGTTGGAGTAGGTCTTGAGGCACACGGCGCAGTGGTAGATGCCAACAGTGTGGGTGTTCTTGTGGTTGAGGAGGGAGCTGGCGTGGCGGTAGGAACGGCCGCACTGATCACATCTGTGCAGAGACAAACAAAGAAGAACATGGGGAGGATCAAGGGGAAGGGAAGAGGGGGAGGCAGGAAGAGAGACAAAGGGAGATTATTAACGGAACATGGATGCCTGGTTTCACAGTTCTAGCCAAATTAATCTTAGTTACTGGTTACCACTTGTTCTTTAGATTTACTCAAACATTATCTAAGATGTTGCACATACAGGTATATGATCTGAAATCCGGCTTAAAGCTTTCAAAGAACACTACTACAAAGTGGTGCACCATTTAACTCTTTGATTTCTAGACAGGTCATGGGGAGAGGATTGCTGGGTGGGTGGGTGGGTGGGTGAGGGAGGGGGACATAGAAGAAACTATGAACAAACAGCTGGGATTCATGTAGGGAACTGGGAGGTATCTGCTGCTTCCTGCACTGCACAAATCAAACAGCTTCAATCGCATCTGGACTGTTTCAAAGACCTTCTGTCTCAGCCTTCTTTGGGTCATTACTGAATGTAGTGATGAGAAATTAATCAACAAACCTCGACTATGTCAGTTAGCAGTTACTGTGCTGTAGTAAAGAATCCTGTTAGGCATGATAGCCTCTGGACATGTGCAGTGCAGCTAGCTCCAAATACTTCCTAATCTTCCCTTTCAGATATCAAAATGCAACAGCCCCATCACATAACTGCAGTTTCTAGTCTAATAGCTGGCCAGTATCAAAACAGACACAAACAAATCAAAGACTACAAGCAAAATCAGAACAAGAGCAAGGAACAAACAACATCAAAACTTTAAACTTTGCTATTATGCTACAAACAAAATGCTAATTTAAATCTGTGTAAGAGATTTCTAAGAAAACAAAGCATATAAACAGTACATCTAAACATGAAATGTTTGATTGAAGGTGGCCTAAAAAAAACTAAAGTGTGTGATATATGCTAACTGAAAGCAAACGGGGTTGACTTATCTGGTCTCTCCACTAATTCAATTTGTCCAAACTTCAGAAAAATCCGAATTCCGGCACGCGTATGGTCCCAAGGAAGCCGGATTGGAGATCATATACCTGTAATAGACATGTAGAGACCTAAATTTATCTTCACTATTTGTTTTTTCAACTTCGAAGAATCACAAACAACTGACGAGAACTCACGTGTACCGACACTCTTCGCCCTCTCCCGTGGGTGCAGTGGCCTTCCTCCTGACTTCCATGCCTACCTGGTTGTCCCCGCAGCGGTGCCTGGCCAGACCAGACCTCCCCTGGAAACTCTTCCCACAGGTGGGACAGCCGAAGGGCGTAGCACCCTCCTCATGGACTTTCTGGTGGTTGCGGAGGAACCTGGCCAGTCGGAAGGCTTTCCCACATGTGTGACAGATGTGCTTCTTCCGTTGCGTGTGGATGCGCATGTGGTTTCGCAGCGCCATGTAGTTGGTGTAGGGCTTGTCGCAGAAGTTGCAGCGGAAGTTGCCCGTCTTGTGGGTGTGCTTGTGGTTCAGCAGGGAGCTGGCATGTTTGTAGGCGCAGCTGCAGAGGTCACAGGCATAGGGTCTCTCATCAGAGTCCAGATCCACAGAGCTTCTCTCCAAACTAATGTTGGTGGAGCTGTTTGTGGAGGAGGATGAAGGCAGGTGCTGGGCTGGGCAGTCATGAGCTGCAAGTTCATCAGCCGTGGCAAAGCCTTCACAGCAGCCATCGCACTCAAAATCCATCTGAGCTCCAGGGCCTTGTGGCCCTTTACACAGGCCAGCTGTAGTGTGTGTAGCTAGTTGCCTCTGGGTGCGGAAGCCCTTGCCGCACTCTTGGCAGTTGTGCTTCTTCTGGGCAAAGTGGAGGCGAAGGTGGTTTTTCATTGCAAGCCTGTTGGGGTACGTAGAATTGCAAACGTTGCAGTGATACTCCCCAATTTTGTGAAGGTTCTTGTGGTTGGCCAGACTGCCTGCATGGCGGTAGGTCTTCCCACATTCCTCACAGGCAAACGGCCGCCGTCCACTTTCAGCAGGGTCAAACTTCTGAGGCCTAGAAGTACCAGCCGAAGAGTAGGGTTTTTTGAAGCCCTGGTGGCTGTATTTAACTCCCATCACCTGGCCCTTTGATGATTCCCCTCTCATAGTCTGCATTTGAGATGGGCCAGGCTGCTGGAAGCGCGAACCGTTTGGGCCAGTCCGTACAAGACCTTTGGCCCGATGCTCCTCATGGAGACGGAGGTGGTTTATCAGCTGCTTTTGGATCTTGAAGGCTTTGCCACATTCTTCACACTTGTGCCTGTAGCAGGGACGGGCAGAGGTGAAGAAAACACAAGAAAACCTCTGATGAAGTTCATACATTTCAATTGACAAAATGACCTGCTATGGAGGTTCTTATTGTGGCCGCCAGGCAAATTCCTAATGAAGCTGACGGCCCAGGTACAGTCTTACTGGGATTTACTTAAGCGCAATCAGTTTTTTAAAAAAACCCTGGGAAACATTCTTTGCTAAAAAAAAATAAAATAAAAATCTCATCAGCCTCCACATCTGGTCCAGGAATCATTTAAATTTTAACAGCTATGCTAAATGCAAAGTGATGCAGCAATGTTGTTTTTAACAAGCACCAAATCAGAAAATGCCCAGTGCTTACACAAGTTTCAATTTAGTCACACAGTATACGTAAACCCATTTCATTTTCCTGACGTTTTACTTGCTTGCTTTTCTTTTGCGAAAACAAGAACAACACATCACTCACACTGTTTACTCTAACGCAGAACTTGTGGCTTTTGGCTTCCTTAGCAACAGTCATTTGGCAGTTTTCCACTGCATGAACGTAAGGCTCGATTTAAAGTGGCCTGAACCTTTGAGCTCGTTCAGACTGCAGGAAAAGTCTTCATCGAACCATATAGCCTAACAGAACAAACCTATATTGTTCTATTTCCTTTATGAAACTGGAGTTACGTCCTATAAATACTTTTTGTCACCAACCCCAAGTGACCCAAGTATCTGCAGTGGAAAGCTGCCAAATGTTTTGGAGTTTACCAAACCTAAGTGCATCAGTAGAGGCCAGTTGTGACTTCTCTTTTTTGGTTCTTGAAGATGTTTCACCTTCATCCAAGACTGTTCTTTACCTCTAAGTGACTGTTTGTGGGAGTTATTCTCCCCCCAAATCACATGGCTCAGAGCCAATTAAAGACCCATGGATCATGTGACTTAAGTTGGTGGTACTGCCTGGGCCGGGATCTCAGGACTGCATATTAAGTACCTGAGGTGTGACATTGTAGATCCCTTCTTCTGTATATAGATGGAAGCTCCAGTTTTACATAGATGGATTCCTTAACAGCTCTCTCAAAACCGTCTATCTTCGGCTGGTACTTCTAGGACACTGTTGTCCTCGAAGGAGGTTCCCTTATCTTTCAGATAAATCTACATTCTGTATGTCAGGCTCTTGGGTCAAAGATGGAATGTCTTCAAGAACCAAAAAGATATCCAGTTGCCTTCCACTGAAGCACTTAGTATTACCATGATGAATGACTATGAAAACTACATAGACAAGGTTCTTAAGATGGGTGTAAAATGTTATTTTACCTTTTACCTTTGAACTCTTTGCAACATCCGTCAAAACAAAATAAAAATTGACAAAATAAAGGACCTACCTCTTCAGGTCAAAGTGGGTCCTTTGGTGATTCTTAAGTGCCAACAGATTGTAGTAGCGTTTCTGGCATACCAGGCAGCGGAAAACACCAGTCTTATGGGACTTCTTGTGGTTGAGGAGGGAGCAGGGGTGTCTGTATCCTCGTCCACATTGGTCGCACTTGTGGGGCTTGTCACTTTGGTCAACCATCGGCCTACGTCCATCACCTCCAACATCACGGCTTCCTCCAGCAACCCCACCACCTACACCATCTCCTCCAGACATCCCTTTGGCTCCATTTAGCCCTGGCTTGTTCAGCGAGCTGCCTCGATTCTTTCCAGGGCACAAGTGAGTGATCAGATGGTGGCGGTCAGCGAAAAACATACCACAGTCAACACAAATGTGGTTGCGGCCATCCATCTTCTCATTGCCATTGGCTGAACTGCCTCCAATACCCTGTTGTTGGCCATCTGACCTTTGGGGGCCGTGGACTAACTGGTGATTCAGCAGGTCCTGCTTCCTGGAGAAGCTCTGGCCACATGTGGAGCAGATCATCCTCCAGTCCTGCTCCAGGTTGGATGGTCCTGGCCCTGTTGGGTTATTGGCATGGCTACGCAGGTGGCTCCTGAGGGCTCTGAGGCTGGCATAGTGGTTGCCGCACACCGAGCACTGATACACTTCTCCATCATCATCCTCATCTTTGTCATTGCTCCCCATTCTCTTGCCTCCACTCTGGGAGTACTGCCGCTGGCTGCTGCCTTCTTTCATGTTGCTGGAGCTTCCAGCGGGCAGCGAGGTTCCACCCGAGCTGTGGTAGTTCATGTTCCCCATAAAACCATTGGACATGTTGCCCTGCTGCTGCGGCTGCTGTTGCTGCTGGCCACGGCGGGGACACATGTGAGACTTAATGCCAGATACATCTCCGTACATCTCACCGCAGTCAGCACACACATGTCTGTCAGCCTGTCGGTGAGCAGAGCTACTCTGGGACAGTGAGCTACCATCAAAGCGGTCGTGGAACTCAAGAGAGTCCAACCCACTGCTGTGGCCCCCATCTGGTACAAAGTGGGCAGCATCGCCCAGATTTCCTGGCAGTGAGATTGGAGTTGTGGCACCACTGCCTTCCTGGACGTAGCTCTGCTGGGAGTCTAGAGTTAGCGGCTCTGGTGACAGCCAGTCATTGCTGTCATTGCTAATAGGCTGGTTGGAGGGACGCCCTTTGTGGCTCCGTAGGTGGCTGTGCAGCGCAGCCAGGTGGGGGTACTGTTTACAGCAGATGGTGCACTGGAAGTGGCCAGTCTGATGACAGCGCTTGTGGTTGACCAGACTTCCTGCATGCCGGTAACTTTTGCCACACTCCCCACACTTAAAGCGCCGTTCTCCATCATCTGGAGAATTAGCCTGAGGCACTCGGCCTCCAGATGGCGAAGATACTGAGCCCTGTGATCCAGAACTTAGAGTGTCCGAGTTGAGGATGGAGCTGTCCTGACTGTGGGAGGCTGGGTGGGGATCATGGGTTAGATAGTGGACTTTCAAGGTCTCCAGATCTGGGTGTCCTGCGCCACAATAAGCACATGTGTAGATGGGGTTGTTGACTGGAGGGCCCATTATGGGGTCATAGGGACCTCTTTTCTCAGTGGGCAGGGGTGGCAGGGGCAGAGGGTCCCCCAGGGCTGGGGTATATGCTGGGGACCGCACTGCACTTAGATTGTGAGGCATAATGCCTGGGAAGCTGCGCGGCAGACCAAGGGAGGGCGAGGCCGTGTTGTGCAGCAAGATGTGCTCTTGGAAGTCCGCCTTGTTTGGCAGTGCTACCTGGCACAGGTGACAAAAACAGGAGGCGGTGTCGTCACTCTGGGACGACTGGGTGCCAGCGCTGCGCTCCGAGTCATGGAGGCTGCTGCTGCTGCTGCTGCTGCTCACCATGGAGGCCCCGGGCGTCTTGAACTTCGAATGAGTTCTCTCGTGGCTGTTTAGGGCAGCCAGGTTGCTGAATTGTTTAAAACACACAGAACACTTAAAAGTTCCTTGTTGGTGACACTTCTTGTGGTTCACCAGGCTACCGTGGTGCCGGTAGGTTCGGTCACACTGGTCGCACTTGAAAGGTCTGTCCCAAGCGTCGTCGGATTCAGGGGAGCCTTTTTTTCCGTGGTCGTCTGTGTCGTGGCTTTGCAGGACACTATGTCCCATACCACTATTGTTCAAATGGGAGCGGCCAAACCCGTCGGAGAGGTCCTGGGCGAGGCCGTACTCCCTCTCGTCGTGGCCTGCTTCTTCAGGCACTTCTTCACTCTCTTCTTCTGCGTGGGCACTACTGGGGGACAAAGTATGGATCCGCAGGTGGTTCTTTAACGCCACCGCGTTGGGCAGCGTACGTGTACAAACAGGACACTGAAATGATCCAACTTCGTGAGACTTTTTATGATTGGCTAGGCTAGCTGCGTGCTTGTAGATTCGGCCACACTGTTCACACTCAAAACGTCCGGTCTCTTCTTGCTGATAATGTGCTTTCATATGTTCTAGAAGACTTGGAGTACTCGGGCAAACCATATCACATTCTTTACAGGGGAAACCCTTGGCACGACTCATATCATGCATTGCCATAGTACTCTACAGCAAATCGGTTGGAGGGAATCACGGTTCACAATACAGCAATGAACAGTGATGTTAGGGAGGTGGGGGAGGAAACAGCAGGGCTTAGCTCTTCAGTTGAGAGTGGTGGCCATTTACTCCCTAATACCCGTCAGTGCAGGTCCAACCAATCAGGGCCCACCTTGGGAGGAGGCGGGCCTGCGGGGGTCACACCAGCCAATGAGGAATCACTGTGAAAACAAGAGGAAGAAGAAAAAAAAAGGATTACTGACAGACCAATGAGACAAATCTTGAAAATCTCCTTAAAATAACTTTACTGTTTGGGATCTTGCAACAATGATTTTTCATTCACTGATTCTTTCACAAATCAACAGATGATGAAAACAATCACTAATTGCACTAACTAACCAAAATGTCACAACTCTTTAAAATATTTAAAAAAAAATATTTGCTTTAATGATACTACTTATTTAATCACACAGATAAATTACCTGGTTGCCATTTTTGATCATTATCAGCATTTAGTCAATATGTAAACCATTTATTTTTTACACTGTCAAATGATTCAATTCTTTAGGCAAATTAAACTCATGTACATCATTTACTCTAACTTTATTTAAACTCAAACTTCTCTAAGGGATGTAGGCCTTATTAATAGTAGAGCCACATAACAAAATCAGCAAAAGATGTAGCCACAAAAATAAGCAACTCAGTTAGACAAACTACAACAATAATGTTGTTAAAGATAGAGCATTTTAAAAGCTCATTAATCAACTAAAACAAGAACAGCTAGAAGCTAAATTGTCCAAATGATAAAAATGTGTCAAACATCTGTTTATGTATATAATCTCTATGTTTCCATAGAGATGGCGGCGAGCATGGACGCAGCAGCCCCTTCAGGAGACAGCAACAGTGAAAGTTTTGAGTGTCTTGTCTATCCCAGGCGTTCATTCCGCAAAACTCACAGCCGAGACACTTTGCTGAACATCAGGGTAATGAACGTCACTAAAACTGAGGCGGTCGGTTGTGATTTGGACATACTACACCAACATGGAGTCCAATCAGAGACTACAACGGCAGTTACCCAAGAGAGAAGGAAGCGGTACAAACGTAAACAAAGGAGGAAGAAAGCCGGGATCCATGCAAGGCTAAAGGCTAACCCCTCCAGACCAGCAGGACCGTCGCTCCTACGCTCCAATGTCCGCCCCCTTGACAACAAGCTGGACGAGCTACATTTGCTGGGAGAAACCCACAGAGAGTGGAGGGACTGCTGTGTGTTTGCTTGTACAGAAACATGGCTCCATGACAACATCCCAGATGGACATACAGTTGGAGGGGACGACATTGTTCCGGGTGGACAGACAGGCAGCTAGCACTGAACTTCTCCAGAACCGCTGCAGGAGCAGGACACTGAACATTGTCAGGGACTTCTCACACCCTCTTCATAAACTGTTAGAACTGCTGCCATCAGGCAAACGTTTCCAGAGCACTGAAGGAAGAACCTCCAGCCTGATCAACAGCTTCATTCCACATGCTGTCACATGCTGAACTGCTGATCCGGATATGCAAACGCTTCTTTACTGAATTGTTTTTAGTTATTGGATCCTGAAGAAACGCTCTCTCATCTTGTTTGTACTACTGCTGTATGTACAGCAAAATGACAATAAACTTGATTTGATAATCAAATATGAATATTATTAATATCTGAATCAAAAGTGCAGCATTCCTCAGACAGAAACAGAACTAAATGTTCTTTATACAGAAAAAACTCAATATAGGTAAACAACAGATTTGTAGAGAAACAAGTGAATAAAGACAAACAGACACTGTGATAAGAGAGATTTAAAACTAAACGTGAATCACTGGGCTGGACTTATCTTTATTTTCCAGTTTAGCTGATGCTCAACTTCCAAAATGTTCAGCAAAACCCACAAAGGAAACTTTAATCCCTCCACAGAGAACTCACAATCAGGTTTTTGGAATATAATTAAACATGGTGGTTATTTTTAACGCAAAAATGTCCAAAATTCACGTCTTTTTAGTCATCACGCCAAAAAGGAGTAATAATATTTGCATTCTGCATAAAAGACACATAAGCACATTGTTAGTAATATATCAGTTTTTCTATTATTACAATATTTGCAGCTGTAATGACAAAAATCTTTCTCCTTCTTACTGTTGTCTTCCCTCATCATGTTCACAGCTGAGAGACACTGGCATGTAAACATTTCTAACTCCTAAGATTGGTGAATTATTCTCTTGATTATTTTAATAAATAATTAATTATTTGGTCAATAAAACATCACAAAATCATGACAATGACGCCCTCTAGCATTTGACTTTGTTAAATGAACAGATTAAATTCTAAATAAATAAGCTACATAACAAATAAAGGTGGGTTTTTTTTTTAAAAGGAAAAAACATCAAAAGACTCACAGCCACTTATTTTCTTGTCACATTAGAAAAGTATCATAATTTTTTAGTTGTGGACTGCACTAAATCTTTTTTTTTTTCTCTACCTTTACACTGGAATACATCATTCTAAGCTGCAAGAGTTTTTATTTTTTTAACAAATTTTATTAACACAACAGTTCATTGATTAATTAAAACTGCAGGCAAATGAATCAATAATAAAAATATATTTACAGTAAAAGATATTTCACATAAAAAACACTGCAAACAACGATTCAATGACCAAAATATCTGCAGATTAGTTCACTTCTAATTGTTCCTTTTTCATTAATCAACTATTGTTCTGTTTAATTTTCTTTTATTACATTTAATATCAGATTATTGTTAATACTTTCCCTTTTGTACTTTATCTTGTTGTCAAGTTGTAATGTTAATAAATATTTTGACAGTTAGTAGCTTTTGATTTATTACTATGCATAATATTATTTAATTAATTGTTTTCGTTGTGTATTAATACCTTTAACATCAATTAATATGGATTTTAATATTTTACCATTAAAAATTTATGTTTAATATAATTAAGTGTATTATAATTAGATCTACTTCATTTTCATTGGTGTTTTATAAACAATGTATTGGAATTTTTATTATTAATAATATGTAGTGATATTTCTTTGCTATGTAGAATTGTTTAATATTATTCCATTCATCGTTATTGCTCATTTTTTTATTCTCTTTTCACTGACTTTTTTATTATCCTGTGTATTATGAGTAATTCTATTGACAGTATTTATTTTATTATCCAATTTCTCAATATTAGATTTTATATTCTTCACTTGTGTAGCATTTTAAGTCGTGTTTTGTTTAATATTTTTTGTTTATTATTATTAACTTAACTGCACAAAGCTGTGCTTGTTCTCAATTATCATAATTAACGCATCAGTTACTTTCTAAATAAATCAATCGTTGACAACTAATCAATTAATCAATCGTTGCAGATCTGTTCACTGTGGCTGAAGAGTTACTACTGATTAACCAGGAAGTTGTTTTCTTGATTAACCGACTGTTTAATTAAAAACATCAGACACTGTGAAAACTGCAGAACATAAGAAAAAACTGCATTTCTTTAATTTCCCAACATGGAAACTCCTCGAAGCAGAAATAATCAGTTAACTCAGGATGTTAATGATCAATGGTTTGGTTTATAAAACATTGGAAAACTGTTAAAATGCCATCAAGGTGAAGTCATTAAATGTGCAGAATATAAGATTGACTGGTGAATTTTACAACATGGAAACAGCAAGTTTTGAGCTTTTCCACCTCATAACTCAGAACACTGACTAATCAGCTACCTGGGGCTGGTAATGATTGTTTGCTTTACAACATTAAAGAAAACTGTCAAAATGTCCATCAGACTTTGGGCTTTTTATTTATCGATACAGACTGAATATTTAAAAGAGTTCAGTTGAAATCAGATGTGATGAACATGAAACCAAATCTGTGTGAAGCCAGAAAAACTCAATCATCTGTGAATTAACGGAAACATGGAGAAATTTATTGATAAAATGGAGGAATAAACTCTGAGGAAAGAAACCTGCCAAAGGTTTTCTTCTCTTTCTGGTCCATCTGTGTGGATTTGTGGTTGTTCAATACTGTTTACTGATGTTTTAGAAGTTACCTGTTTTGACTAATTTTGTGCGTCTCTGCTGTTTTGCATCTGTTTGGGTTCATTTTGCATCTCAATTTTAATCTCTTTTTGGTCATTGTAAAGCGTATTTGTGTACGTTTTCATCTCATTTTTATTGGCTTGTGCCTCTTTGCAGCCATTCTACATCTTTCTGTGTCTCAAATAGATGCATTTATCTTTGTTTTGCATGTTTTTGCATTTGTTTCTCTCTTTGGGTCTCCCTCTGGTCTTGTTGTGTTTTATTCCATTGTTTATTTCACTGCATTAGTTTTTGAAAAGGTGTTTTCTGATTTTTTTTATGTTCTTTCTCATTATTCATCAACTCTTTGAACTTTGAGGCGCTGCACAAAAAAAGGTTTGATGGTATGCAAATCACAAGTTCAGTGATTGATTAGTCGGTCGCTATTAATAAGACAAATACGCCAAAAGTTTGATGGTTTAATGTGGTCAAATTGGATAAAAGCTACTTTTTACTGCTTTGACAGACATTTTTTACAGATTTCTCACATTTTATAAACCAATTAATCATTTAGATCCACAGTTAACTCGTTATTCTGTTCGTGAAGGAAAACCGCCAAAGATTTGCTGCTTTCATGTTGTAAAAGTAAAGAAATGCAGCTGACGTCACATTGATTGCTTTTTTCCCCACTAATTCTGATGTTTTATTAACAAGAAAATTAAACAAGAAAACACCTTGCTGACTGATCGATAATGAAAACGATCCTAATTGCTTCATTAATTAAGCCAAACGGAGCAGATTCAGGTTGTCGTTTAACAAAATCCAGATCTGCAGCAATTAATCGATCAACAGTTATTTTTATGATAATTAATTATAATCAACTACTAAACATTCTGATAATTGATTAATCAGAGCAAGTTTTTCATTTTAAAAAAACTGTCTGAATTCTGTGATTTCAGCTTCTTCTATGCGAATGTTTTCTGCTTCCTTTGCTCCTCTTTGACAGTAAAATGACAAGACATTTGACGATCTACATTTTTCACCATTCGGGACATTTTCAGACGAGTTCGGCCTCGTGTTTGAGCTGAAGACAAAGAAAACAAACAGCAGCAGCAGCTTTAAAACTGACCGACATCAAACAGTGCAGCAGAAAACACGTCCAAAGATAACACTCGTGTCCAATTGTTGTCATTGTCGCTTCTTTTTTGCCGTTAATAGGTTAATCTGTAAGACTGAACAACATCCATCCAATGTTCAGGGTCCAAAGTTACGTCTTCAAATGATTACAGAGATAAAAACAGACAAACTGAGCCCCTTCATGCTGAATATAACACAAACAACATATGTCAGGGAAAACACACAAATATCTGTGAGGCCCCTGTTCAGTCTGAATCTATGCTGGCTGGTTATAATATCACACGTCCTGTTCGGAGGTTTTAAATCTCATGTGAATTAAATCCTGTCATGGTATTTTACACCAAATCTAAGTTTTATCAGCTCTGAGAGAAACCTGAGAGGAAACCCTGATGCATACTAAACTAAAACCACGAGGAGAGCTGCTGGTTAACGTGCTGTTCACTCTAAGCCTTGATTTGAACCTGGATTAGTTTAAATTTAGTCAAACTGTCCATTTCAAAGCAGCAGATCTGTCTGTGGAGCAGCTCCCGTCTGCAGTGTTTCAGACAAACATCACTGTGATGCTGAAGGAAACCAAATCAGACACATTCTCAGTGGAGTTCTGAACTGGGTTTTTCTCTGGTTTCTATGTGGTCTTACAGATGTAATTACAGTCTATCCTGTGCGAGAACATAAGGAAAAGAAGCTTATACACAGGAATTTGTTTCTCAAAAAACTATTTTGGGACAAAGAAAGACGTTACAACTTACTTCCTGTAGATGCTCGCCTCTGTTTATTCATATTTTGACATTTGAAGCAGCAGAAGTGTGTCTGAGCAGCTTCTGTCTGCAGAGAGCAACTGATCAACAGGCAGACGTCCCGACATCACTGTGATACTGACGGAAACTTAAAATCAGACACATTCTCAATGGAGTTCTGAACTGTGTTTGAGTGACTTTATGGACACTTGTTTGGTTTGTGCTGCTTGAAGTCTTTTACAAACCAGGATATTTTCTCCACAAACACCAAAAACAATGATGTGATTACACAATTTTTTATTTGCTGATTATGTTACGGATGAATCAATCAGCTGTTGGGTCTTAAATGGTGAAAATGTAGATCAGAGTTTCTTCAAATGTCTTGTTTTGTCCAAAGATATTCAGTTTAGTGTTACAGAGGAGGAAAGAAACCAGAAAATATTCACCTTGAAGAAGCTGCAACCACAGATTAGAACTGTTTTTATCAAAGAAATGACTCAAACTGATGAACCGATTATCAGAATAGTTGCTGATTAATTCAACAGTTGATCAATCACTGCAGCTCTAACACATACAAACATACAAATTTTGATGGTAATAAGTATTTTAAACATACTGTGCAGAGCGGAAGCAATTAGTCAGTTTCTCAGGTAGTAGATGAACAGAAAAATGACCAGTTTTAGCTGCTTTTCCCTCTCATACAACATAAAACTGAATGTTTGGGTGTTTGAAGACAACATTGAATTAATCTGATTGTTCTAATAATATAAAAAATGATCTACAGATGAGCTGATAATCAAATTCATGGATATTCATAACCGTTAAACATGACAGGTAGCTTTATGTTTGCTGTTTACTATTTTTTATAATTATGTATACACACTAATTTGCATGTAAATATATATTTAAATATACTGGGACACTGAGGAAACAACTATTCAATTAACTCTTTAGTCCCATTTCAAGCCAAAAAGTCAAATATTTGCAGGTGAGCGACTCAAAACAAAAGATTTGCAACCTTTCTCTCTCATACAACATACAACTGAATATTTTGACATTTTAGTCAAACTAATCAAGACGTCACCTTCATCTCTGCAAAACAATTTGATAAATACTAAATATCTTAATAATCTACCATTCAACAATCAACAGTAAGCTGAAGTAATCTGCAGATTAACTGATAATAAAATGTAAAGTTATTTTTTTTCAATCTCTGACACATGACATTTTAGTTTAGGTCTGCTGATTTATTGTTATTATTTATTATTAGTTAAGCATAAATATAAATTTACATATCAATAAGTATTATAATGTACTGGTACAGAGCTGAAGCAATCAGTCAATTAACTGACTGATGACTAATTTCATTCCTTTTACCAGCAAAAGTGAAAAATGTGAAGGAAAAAAAGCCAATTAACTGCAAACTAACAAAACATTTGGTGCTTTTCTTTTACTCTAAACAGATTTTTGGACTTTTGGTCAAATAAATCAGGAAATCTGAATACTTTACCTTTATTTCAGCACAACTTATAATTTACTAAGTGAACAATTATTCTATTAAAAGCAATCAGCACATTAATTCATTATGATATTGTAAGTTATCTCTATCTGCTGCTTTGTTTTGGACCAACAGAAAACTGCACTGTTGTTTTGTTTCTGCTCACTGATGCTGAGTTTAGATGCACGACTTGAATTCATTCATCTTCATTTACATGTTTTCTAATTATTTCCATCCAGGGAACAAATCACCTGACTACCAGGCTCAAAGTAAAATTATCTACAACATGTCAAAGAAAAGTCAAGTAATGAGTTGACAGAAAAATAATTTCAAGTTTCTTAAGCAAAATTGAAAAGATGGGGGAAATATTTATAGTTTTTGTGACTTCAAACTGGAAATTTGTTGCTTTTTATTGATTGATAACTTATTTTTGGACTTTTACTTTAGTACAACAAGAAGTGTGAAGACAGCATCAGCAGCCCAGCAGCATCTTTAGACAACTGTTGTTTTTCTGCTCACTGATGATGAGTGAAGATATTCAGCTTTACTTATTTGCTGTTTATTTGCATATTTCCAGGACTTCCAGCCTCAGTGAAATGATTTTACACATGAACCATCTCCTTCAGACTCAATCAGGCTGAGCTGCAGCCAATCATGTCTCTTTACTTTTTCCTTCTAACTTTTCCTTCCTGAGTCCATCATGTAAACAAACCGCGCCTGCTTCATTAAGCGGCTCCGCGCTCACAAAGAAGCCGAGCGGGTCGCTCTGCCGGCGGCCACACTGTGTCCGGCCGCCGGGATGGAAACAGACACCCCGGCTCTGTTCACACACACGACCCGCCTGTTATTAAACTCCGCATTAAACTCCAGTTCAGAGAAACAACGTTTACTTTCCCCGATAAAGTGAGATTATTGGCGGCGGCACCGCAGCGGGGCTCCCTGACCTTGGCCCGTCTCCTCTCGGTCGGGTTCAGCCTCGGCAGGAATTTATCGGGACAAAGCGGGGCTTCTTCACCGCCGAGCCTCGGCCGACATTTCCTTCCCCGACTCCCCCACTTTGAACCGGGGGAGCGACGCCCCAGCGCGGCCGGCAGGGCAGCAGAACAGAGGGGGTTCGGCCGGAGGTGGCTGCGGCGGCGGCGGAGTGTTTCCGACATGATGCTCCAGCAGAGACCTTCAGCCATCAGCCCACTTTCACTGAGACCCCATTTCATCGGAAAATGGCTTTCCAGCAGCGAGCCATTTTCCCCCAGCTAGCGGGGTTAGCTCGCGTTTTAGCCCCACAAACACAAGCTGCTGCGCGGCTTCAGCGGAGCTCCGTGCAGCGTTCAGTGAATAAAACACGAAGTAAAACAGCCGCAGAGCGAACTGTGACATTTTCTGACTTTATTTACAAAGCGTTTTGCGGGGAAAAAGTGAAAACAGGCAGAAACACGGCCGAGCTAACGTTAGCATTAGCGCCTGGCTAGTCAGTTAGCAGCCCCCCGCGATGTAGGAACGGAGCAAAACTCAAGTTTAACACAACAAAAACACACGCACCGCGTGCACGCACAGACACACACAACCTGCCGGGAGGCCGGGGCTCATTTTGACATTAAATACGCTCAGGCTGCCATCACAGAAAATTGTCTCCGCTGCAGGAGCTTGCAGTGGTTAGCAGCGCAGCTAGCCGTGCAGGCTAGCCCGGAGCTACACAAAGATCTCGACAAACACACCGCGGCCCCGCTTTGACGGAAAACCTCGGTTTACCGCCGTTTAACGCGCCACACTCACCCCTCAAATGGCCTCTGCGCCCGCCAGGTGAACGATGCACGGCGTGGAGGTGCACAATGTGCGGGTTTCACGGATTAGGCATGGTTATTTTCTTCCACCGCCTCTTCTACCACCGACTTTTGGTTCTTGGCTCCGTCCCCCTGCCGCCGCTCCAGCAGCCGCTTCACTTCCTGCCGCTGCCGCTGCTAGCTGAGCGGCGCGGCGCGGCAGGAGCGTCATCATGCGCAGAAGGAAATTTGAGCGCCACCGCAGCGGCAGTTTGCGCCTGCAGCTGCGGACTGTCGCCGCTCCGGCACCGCTCGGCTCACCGGGAACACTCGGGCCGGTTCGGAGCGCAGTTCAGACCAACGTTTGAGCTGTTGCCGCTCGGCCTGCTGCCGAGCCGAGCCGAGCCGAGCCGAGCTGCTGCTGCTGCTGCCAGGCCAAATGACACTCCGAGGTCATTTTATCAGCTGCAGCCCGCACAGACTCACCTGGACACCCCGGGGGCCAATCACAGGGGCCCCACCTGCAGCAGGGTGCAGCTGCAGGACCTCAGAGCTTCCACACTGATCCACCTGCTGAGGGGCCCCGCAGGTAAACTGTGCTGTGGCCCCTGGTTACCATGGTGACAGTACTGAGGGCCCAACAGGTGACAAGCTGCTGGACCAGACAGCAGAAAGGTCCTGGTCTTGTTTTCATGTTGGGATGTTACACAACTACAAAAACACAAAAAAGTGACCACTAAGACACACCAAATGATAAAAACAGAGAGAAAAAATCACAACAAAGAGACAAAAAAAAATACAATTGAAGACAAACGCACACCTAGTGACACAAATGGAAATAAAATTTCCATAATGACACATTTAAAAACAACAAAACCACCCAAAATGACCACAAAGAGAGATACAGTTCTTAGTCTATAGATTTATTGCTGCTTGTTCAGATTCAAAAACGTTTCTTAAATGTTCAGACGAGTTAAAACTTTCTGTTTAGTTCCCACAAAAACACAAATATTCTGTGTGATCTCCATATTGTCAGTCTGAGATGTCAGTTTTGGTGTTGTTTTTGTGTTGCTGCTGCTGAACAAACACACAACAACATGAGCACACGCGAGTTTTTCAGTGAGTTTAAATGAGCAGCAGCAGATTTACAGCAGCGCTGAAGAGCTTCTTTATTAAAACTAAAGAGCAGCTCCCTGAAGGCTCCGTGTAGCTACATCACATGAAATCAATAAACATATTGATCTGCAGAGCGTCTGGATGAGGTGAGTCACTGCATTAATATCAGCTGCTGGAAACTCACCGGTGATTCTGAGTGTCCATTAATCCTCCAGCTGACTGTCAGAAGTCAAACCGAATAAATGTCTGTTTCTCTGATGCTTTTTTAGTGAAGCAGTTTCATTCGCAGTTAAATTATTAATTGATAAAATGATCTTCAGATTCATCAGTAATAAAAACAATAATGAGTTGCGGCTGCAGTGGGTTTGTTTTTATTTTAGTTTTTTCGTTAATCTGAGTTTATAACCAACATATTTAAATCACAAAGTTTCTATTAATAGAATAAGTAAAAAATAATGAATTATTTTTTATTACCAAAGATTTTGAAAATTGTTAGCTTTTGAATTTTAAAAAATATATTTGAATTCAAAGCTTTTTTAAATTTATTTTGATTTATATTTATAATAGTATTTTTTTTATTTGTCTGTCACTGATGTCCTACATTTAGATTTTCCTTTTTTGTGTGTAAATATGTCAACATCCATCGCTCAAGATACAAAAAAATATAAAGCAGATCACAAATGATTTGTTTTTTATTTTTCAATTTTTTGAATCCTGAGTATTTGTTAATGTTTATTTTATTTCATACATTTTGAAATATCTTAAAATTTTTGTACATGTGTAAAAAAATATAATTTTAAAGTATTTTTCCTAATTTTATTTCACATAGATTTCTTTAAAAATTACTTTCACAGATATTCTAAAAGGAATGATAATAATCTGTCTTTTACAGATGTCCCAAATTTTTTTTTTTTAAAGTATTAAAAAAAATCACAAACATGGCAAGATAATAATGTTTTATTTTCTTTATTTTTATGTTTTATTTGATTCATGTCGTTAGTTTCTTTGTTGTATACCATTGTTTATATTCAAAACGTTTCTATAATTCCTCCTGTCCTGCTGCTGTGGGAAAAAACACAGCTTTATTATACATATCTATGGGAAAAAGTCGCTGCTTGATTATGTACCACATTACCCACAATCCTCTGCGTTACTCTGACGTAATTTTCCCGCGACTCCATTCATCGTTTCCCTCTCTGAGGTGCAGTTTGAGTTTTCGCTGCTTTTCGTCGGTGTTTTGTGTGTTTTTGCGGCTGTTCTTGCGTCTTCAGGAGCGTCAGCGGCATCGGCATGGGTCCTGTAGAGGTGAAGTTATTTAAATTCGTCCCTCTGACGGTTTTATTTCTTTTCTTTCTGACGATGAATTAAGAAACTAGCTCATATTTGAGACAAAAATCTGCCGCAAACCCCTGTTTCGCTGGTGTGTTGCTCTGAATGTCGATACGAACGTTAATATTTCATTTATTTAACAACTATTAAGCGTTTTTTGTTGTTGTTGTTGTGGTTGTTATTATCGTTGGTTCAATTATTTCACCGGCTAAGTTCGCTTTTATAGCGAGTTAGCAACTTAAACCTAACTTTAAAATTCTGTTCATTCCTATTTACTTTCTTACTGGTCAAAACTCACACATTAACCTTCTAGTGTTAGAACATGTCAGTGTTAAAGTGAAGCTGTTGCTGGAGGTGGGAGGCTGTTTTAGTATCACATCAGTAGGTATGGACCCGAATATCCGAATATCCGGTCGCTGTGCTGGTATTGGGGTAGCAATTTTGATCTCCGAATATTCTCTTTGCTGCTTTGTGTGTATTTCTTTGTCACAGAACCATCGATAAATTCAAGTCTATAGTAAATAACTGTCAGTTTTGTGTTTTCATTGTATTTCGGTGTCACTGCAGAAACTTTGACTGAAGCCGAAACAATCAATCAATTAATCAGTTGTTCGAACAAGAGAAAAATCAATGAATTTGGATGACTGATGAACAGTCATTTTACAGCAGAGACAATGTGTTGATAAATGCCTGATCAGATATTTTACTGATGAGCGATGTGATTGGTGGAGGTTACTGTCCAGGTGAACTCCCTGTTAACAGAGTGCGTGAATGTGTGCAGCTCCTCCACATGTCCGTCTTCTCTCAGAGCTTCTCTCCCTGCGGCCGATTCCTGGCAGCCGGAAACAACTACGGAGAGATTGCTGTGTTCAGGTGGGACCACACTGATCAGTTACCTCACAAACTTGATCGATAAGATGTCACTGATCAGTTCAGATTGATCTGATTGGTTGTCTTTGTGTTTCAGTCTGTCTGCAGCTCTGAGTCCAGACGCCACAGCAGCCAATCAGAAACCTGTTCTGACCTTCACAGGTGAGTTTAACCTGCAAGTGACTCAGTTTAACAGGTGAACTCAGTTTAACTCGTCATTCTTGTCTCCTCTTGTCTCCTCCTGCTGTCTCCAGCTCATGAAGGACCAGTCTTCTCCCTCCTGTCCACTGATGTTCACCTCTTCAGTGCAGGTAATGGAGAAATCAGCGCCTGGAGTTGGACTGAGCTCAGCAAGAAGGTAAAGAACTGAATCTGAAGACGTCTGTCTCGTGTCAGACTGTTTGTCTCATGTCGGACTGTTTGTCTCCTCAGAACGTCAAACCTCTGTGGACCAAGAGACCAAACTACAAGTGAGGAAGCTCTCTGTTCTGTTTGTTTCCTGTTGGACTGAAAGACAAGAAAACGACTGACTCAGTCTGTGTTTGTGTCTCTGCAGGTCCAGTCTGGAGATCCCAGAGATCAACGCCATGGTCATCAACCCCAGAGTGAGAAAACAAACACACACACACACGATTATTATTCGTATATTTTAGGGAGTTTTATTGTCATTTTTGAAGTTTTGTATTTTCGTATTTCCATTTTGGGGAGATTTTATTGTCGTTCAGACTGTTGTGTGACTGTGTTGTGTGTTTGTGTCGCGTGTCAGGACAACAGTCTGGTGGTGGGAGGAGGAGACAATAACATCCACATTCTAGACTTGGAACACGGAGTCTTCAAGGTGCGTCACTTTCACATCATGTCTGTGTTTACCTGCTGCTGTCATGGAAACAGGCAGCCGGTAGGAAGGAGTTCTGGTCCGGTTCTGGACTCTTACGGCGGTTCTGTCTCTATCTCCAGGCCGTCCTTCAGGGTCACTCGGACTACATTCACTGTGTGAGCGTCAGAGACAGAGAAGCTGAGATCCTGTCAGGAGGAGAAGACGGAGCTGTGAGGATGTGGGGTGAGTGAGGGCGGCCATGTTGGATCAGTCCGCTGACACAGAGGAATGATGATGATGATTAAAATGATGATGGTTGTGTGTGTGTGTGTGTAGACAGCAGGTCCAGTCAGTGTGTTCACTGCATTGAGGTCCATAAATATGAGGTGAGTTTGCTCTTCTGCTGGTCCATTTTACTGCATCATGTTTAACCTGTAAATCAGAATAACGTGAGTCTGTTTGTGTTTCAGAGCTGCGCTCGGCCTCATATCGGTAAATGGATCAGCTGCTTAACCACAGACTCCGACTGGATGGTAATTAAACACACCAACTCTGCAGCGATTGTCTCAACAGGCTGCTGTTTTCATCGTTCAATCCAGATATTAGACTGTCCCGTTTGACTAACTTGTGTTGCTGTGGTTGTGTGTTGATGATTTGCTGACTGTTGCAGTTGTGTGGTGGAGGTCCATCTCTGTCTCTGTGGCACCTTCGTTCTCTGTCTCCAACCTCCGTCTTCCCTCTGAGCGGCTGCCAGCGACAGGCTGCCTTCTACCAGGACATGGTGAGAAACGCTGTGTTTATGTTGCATTCACTTGCTGCTTTTTGTATTTATGGTGCGTTCACTTGCTGCTTTGTAGATTTATGGTGCGTTCACTTGCTGCTTTGTAGATCCTAGCGGTGGGTGAAGGTGCGTTCGTGTCCCACTGTCTGCTGGGCGGAGAGGTCAAAGCTCAGATTCCCTGCACTCCTCAGAGCCTCAACACACTGCAGCTGAACACCAACAGCACTGAACACCGGGTGAGAACCTGAACGCAACACAAATAAACATTGTTTCCTGATGAGAGAAACATTTTATCATGATGTCTAGATATTTGTCTCATTTCAGTAAAGAAGTAAAGTTGAGCTTCATACAGAGCTGCAGCTAATGAATCCTCTGATCAAATGCTTACGTGGAAACAAATGAAAACGCTGCCAAAAAACATTTCAGTTCATATTAGTGCAGCGATGAAAAGTCAAAGCTACAAGTCTGAAATCTGCAACATTTTAAAATTATTTTTGTTTGACAAAAATCACTAAAATGATCAACAATTATCAAGATAAATATTAGTTTTTACTTAATTTTTGAAACAAAAGCTCAGTATTTACTCCCGAGTTGTAACAGCAGAAAACTGAAATTCATTTTTGTCAGTGTGACAGACGTTTTTGTGAAGTAAAACATGTAACGCGTGATTAGTGATATCTAATGAAGCTCTGACAGGAATGGACACGTTTTTTCCGTGTTAACAGCGGGTCAGTGAACGTCCCATCAGGTAAAGGTGTTGTTTTGTTTCAGGTGCTGACGGTGGGAGGAAGCAGCGACCACATCGACGTCTTCACCAACCTCTCTTACAAAGCCTTTTCTCTCAGCTTCTGAACAACTTTTGTACCGTTTATCTCAATAAAATATTTTTCTCATTCTATACAAACTGTTTTTTTTTGTCTAACAAAATCAGCTGAACTCAAATTTAAATCAAAACCTGCAGCAAAGATACATTCAGCAGGAAACGTCTTCTCCAGCTGAGGAGCAAAAATGGAAACAGTCACATATGTAGTTGTATGTGGAGACAAAATGACACAAACAAGACATTAAAAAAGGCAAAAACAAGACAACGGAGCAAAATGGCAAAACAAGTAAGACACAGAATGACCACAAAGAGAGAAAACCGCTCCACAGATGTGACACAAAATGTTGTTTTTAGAGGCTGTAAGTTGTAAATAGTGAATCATCTTTTTTCCAGTGTCTGTAACATCTGTTGATTGCAAGTTGTTCTGGTTTTTCTCAGACAAAAAGGAACAAATGAACTTTTCTGAGTTCTCTCTCTTTCTTCGTGGTTGTTCTGTGTCCATAGAGGTGCAGGACTTTATAATGCAGTAAAAAATGAGACAGAAACTGCTCTGAGTTCAGCATCAGGACTAAAAAAAAAAAAACTTTCAGGTCTACAGATGAGGAGGAGGAACGTCGGCTCGTTTCTGTTCAGGGAGTCATGTTTTCTTCTTCTTCACTGCTGAATGTAGTTCTTCTTCTGCATCAGTTTTACAGCATCAACAGCTCCACCTGCTGTTTGGGTCAAACACTGAATATTCACAGAGCTGCAGACGCTTTTCTTCAGATTTTCTCCACGTTTTGTTCAAATCTCACCAACACTCACACATCTGCTGTTTGTGTTCTTCAGGTTCCGTTCCAGCTGCAGCGATTTTAGAACATATATATAAAAAAAAAATTTACCTGTAAAATAATAAAAACTGCCTGAATGTAGATTTTTGTTTCGTCTTTAAGCTGCATTTCATTTTAAAAGCAGTTCAACATAAACAGTCGCAGCTGGAGGGAAAATGTTAAACAAAGTTCTGCATTTAAAAAGTTGAACTGAACACATTTTATTTATGAAAGCAGAGAAACATTTACAGATCTGACGGACGAGTTCTGCACAACCAAACTGAAACCTTCTGTCCAACGCAAACTAAAGAGCAAACGGAGTCGTGATGCATTCAGGGAGGAGAATATGAGTCGAGACTGCAGCTCTGATTATTATTATATACAGACTGTGAATTAGGAGGTTGAAATACAACTGAGCTGAATTTACCCAGAATGCACCAGGACTACAGTCGATAAGGACCTCGATGGTGCAGAGAAGAGAGTTATACAGTTTATCTGGAACAGTGTCGGAGTTACTGAGGCTGCGTGTGGGCGGGGCCTCGTGTGGGGGCGGGGCCTCAGGCGGCTGACAGACAGGCCTGCCGGACGCTCTGAGCCCAGGTGTTGAGCAGCTCCGTCACCGAGTGTTTGTCCGGCAGCTGCAGCAGTTTGGACGTCATGTTTCTGTGGACCGACTGCAGGAAGGAGTTCGCACCTGAAGGGACACAGAGGCGGAGGTTACCATGGAGACAGACACACAGAGGACGCTGCCACGGAGACGGACGACGACAAGATGAGGGATGTTAATGATTGACTGGTTAACAGTGAGGAGGAGAACCTCACCGTACTGTTCTCCATCGTCGGCCCAGTACGGACTCTGATCAGGATAATCAGCAGGAACGCTGAGCTGCAGAGGAGGAACACTGGGGAGGTTCTTGTCGTCTGGAACACAACCAACAACAAGTGAACCTGCTGACACTTTTAACTTTATTGCTGCTCTGATCTGGTACATTTGATCACTTTGTTCCACCAGCTTCTGACTTTGTGGAACTTTTTAACATGTTGGAATCATTTCAGACAGCAGTGATCCTCCAACAGGCCCGGTTCTGTTCAGAGTTTAATTAGTTGATATTTGAGTCCAAAAACGTTTGAGGATTCTATCTGTCCTCATGACTGAAAATTTGAACACTTTCAACCTCAAAAACATCTTTGAAGCCATTTTCAGGGTTCAGTATCTCCGCTTTATTTGACAGAACTTAGTTTTTGGTCTCGAATAACAAATAAGTAACTCTGAGCAGAAGCTGAGATGTTGGACGAATGCTGCTGCCTGAAATAACTGACAGAGTTTCTACAGATGCTAATCAATAGTTATTTAACTTATAATTATCATTGTACAAAGAACAAACCTCCTTGACATTTCATTTTATTCCATTATTAAAAAACAGTTTTGCAGATTTAGGACGCTGAGTTAAACACCTCAGCAGCCCCTGGTCCTGACACACTGCAGATGGATTGATCAGCTGTATTGATCCTCACCCAGCTTGCAGACGAGGTGCACGGTGCCGTTGTTGCTGCAGAACGAAGGGTCCAGGTTGACCAGGAACTTGACGTCGAGGCGAGCCACCTCCCCCTGCAGGATGTTGGGGATGGTCTGGCGCTCGTCATCCTCGTGCTTCCTCTTTCTGCCGGAGACGTTCGGACCCCTGAAGAGGAGACAGACGAAGGTTCACCCATGAAACATCAACCTCAACCTCTTTACCTCTTTTTGTTGTGATTTTGTGTTTTTGTTGTGATTTTCTATCTTTTTGTGGTCATTGTGCATCTTCTGGTAACTTTGTAAGTTTCTCTTGTGATTTTGCATCTCTTTGTGGGTTTTTCATGTCTTTATGGGAGAATTTTACCGCAGTTAAATTGATTCGGTTGCAGTTTTTTAACAGAACTCCAATGAGCATTTCATGTGTCTATCTGCTGTACTGATGAAGTTTTGAGGCTCAGAAATGACGAAAAAAGTCCAATAAAAAGTGTGAAATTTGGAGCCACCTCTCTGTACTTCTGTAACTCTGACAATATTCATAGCGTGAAGTAAGACTTGGCTTCTTTAAATATCCGAAAGTTACTGTAGAGAAAGAATCAACTGATTCTGAGGAGGTCGGGGGGAGTTTTTTTTTTTTCAGATTTAGTTGGTTTTAAGCATCCAGTGATCAGAGTTTCTGACACCTACGTGATTGGAGGTCCGTGGATGGCGCTCATGGCGGGGGCAAAGGTCCGGTACAGCGAGTGGTTGAAGACCGGAGAGCGGATGTTTGCCATGACGGCGTCCAGCAGCGGCTGGCACAGATACTGCTGCTTGGTGGGCACCGGGGGGGGCGGGGGGGTCGGCTGGAACAACAGGACACAACGTCACGGCAAAATCCAGCAGCGCTTCACAAAACTACAGGAAACAGCAGCGTTTTAAATGAAAAGGTGAATTAAACAGCAGGAGTCGTTAGTACCACGGCCATGTCGTTCTTCAGCTTCTCCAAAGCGATTTCACATTTCTGCAGCGTCTTCAGAGGACATCTGCAGCACAAACAAACAGGACGAAAAGTCAAAAAACCAACAAACGTCTGCCCTGGATTTTATACCTCTAAACCTTTAAACCCAAACCTTCACTCATTCATTCAATCTGTATTTATGCTCAACGAGAGTCAACATTCTGTATCAAAGACTTCGAATCAAATTACATGAGCAAAGGGTGAACAATCTTCTAAGTATTTATATTTCATGTATTAGTCTGAAGTTGTATATGGTCTTTTGATATTTTACATTTATTTCAGACAATATTTTTATCGGTTTCTGTCATGTTTTACACATATTTTGTTGTTGCCTGCCTCAATTTATGTGTTTTTGTAGGAAATCTTACTCCCCTGACTTCGTGTGATCACGTGTGCAGCACAGAAACTGAGGTAGCGTTACAGAGGAAAGAAACAGGTGAACGAGCCGTTACCTGGTGGTCGGATCAGTCAGGATGTTCAGCAAACTCTTCATCTTACTCAAGTCCTTCTTTCTGTCTGTAAGCACAAAAAAAACACAAAATAGTCATCAACAATAAAATATCTGCAACATCTTTTAAAAAGAATATCAAACTGAAATATGTCTGTGTTTTATGTACATTTTTTTCCCCACACACTTGAACCTCTTTCACTGTATTTCTGCAGTGATAAAATAAAAAGATCAGCAATATGAACTGTATAAAGAAAACTGAACCAAGTAAACGTGTTCTGAACTCTCTGAGTCAATTTAAAACTCAGGACTTCTACGACAAATGTCTGCAAGTAAAACAATACCATAAAATATTACAAATTGATATCATTTTCAACACCAGTCCTGATCACAATAACCAAATATTCATTCATTTTCCAGATGTATGTAGTGGCAAGACAAGCATTTCTTTGGATATTTACAGTCTGTGATATGTCAATAATTAGCAACAACTGGTGTATAGGTTAGGATAAGATTATCGTATAAGATTAAAAGTTGTTCAAATATCTCAGTGTTTCCACAACTTAAATACCTTCAGTTTACTGTGAAAGAAAACAGAGAAAAACACAAGCTCCTGGTTTCTGTGGCAGGAACAGACTGACGATCAGCTTCACAGTTTTATTACTTTGTGTCGACGTGCTGGTTTTAGTTCTAGATATTTACGCAGAAACATGGATTTAATTATGGCATTAATCTGTTAATGAGCATTAGTATGCAGACACTTATTTCACGTATGTTTTGTTTTTAGGACTTGTCAGTCATTCTGGTAGATTCATCGTAGCAACTGGACTTGCTTGAGTTCCTTGAAGACGTTCTACCTCTCATCCAAGACGCTTCATCACTTCTGACTGACTAGTTGGGAGTTCCACATACTTATATCCTTAAGGAGTCTTTAACACCTGAGTTTTGGTTGCAGTTGGTGGTTTGTTGCTCCTCTTGTCAGTCGTGTCTCAGTATTTCTGCAGTTGTCGGTGTGTTTCTCTTGTGCTTTTGTACAAACAGCGATAATAAACCACAGAAGAAGACGATGTGAGCAGCAGGACGAACACCCACCTTCGTTTTTGTCTATCTTGTTGATCATTCGTCGCAACGGCTCGATGTATTTGGACAGCTGCTTTAGTTTCTCCATGTACTGCTGGTCCTCCAGAGACGTGGCTCCGGCTGGGCTCATCACCGAGCTGGGGTTGCCTGAGGACAGGTGAGGACGGGTGAGGATTCAGTGTTGTTGTTGCTCAAAAGGAGCTTGTTCTGTTTGCGACCCAGAAATGTCTGCATTTTCCTGTTATTTCTGCCCATTATGCCAATTAAAAGAACCCCAATTAATAAAGCTGGTTTAAAATGAGTATTTATTTGTATTCTCAATTCTTTTCATTCTGGTTCTGGTGATTTTCCTTTGGTGCTGAATAAAACCTAAAACCTTTGAGGTTTAACTCATTACAACTCGTTCCGATTTGACCTCACAGACATGAAACACGTGTGTTTAAATTGAGATACAGTTGTGCTCATAAGTTTATATACCCTGCCAGAATTAGTAAAATGTCTAAAATGTTTTACACACATAATTTTATTATCGTCTCTTCTTAAATGTGACCCAGCGCATCTGATTCTTTTTCATTTTAAAGTATTTAAGCTTACTGTAAGAGCTGATGCATTAGCAAATGATTTGAGAGTTATTAATTAGTTGATCATTTCAGCTCCACTGCAGATCAGTTATCGGGGCTGAAACAGAAGCTGGAGCTGAAATGACAACAGTATTTCTCTGTTGGCCTGTAACTTCCTGTTTTTTTCTTCCATTTTGACACAAGAATTTGAATTTCAATCTATGCTGCTAAAACACATCAAAGCTTTGAAACACAAGGAAGTTGCTGTGGGTGGGATATAAACCTCTGACGGCAGAGCTGCAGTTTAAACCTGCAGTGATGATGTGCAAAGGGACCGGTCTATTACCTGGAGTGTTGAGGGGTCCTGGGGAGGGCACTCCGTAGTTCTGGGGGGTTCTAGACGTGGCTGGGCTTGGTGAGGGCTGAGGGGACGGGCTGGGCTGGAAACCTCCGGGAGACGGCGTGGGACCGGAGCTGAAGAGAGGCACAGGGTTGAAAAAGGACCAGTCGATTGGCTGGAAACAAGGTGTGGCCTGTGACATCATCGTACCTGGCTGAGTTGGGCTGTGAGGTGGGCGGCTGTGGCGACGGCTGCGGGGGAGGCGGCATTGGCTGTGGCGTCTGGACCTGCATCGATGAGGGCGACGACGTCATGGAATGTTGCTGCACCTGCAACGAGCCAATCAGAGGAGGCTCTCAGTCTGATTACTAAAGATTAAATTAAATATAAAAGCAAAGGTTTGTTATTATTTACATCCTCAGCTTTATTCGACACTGTTAAAAGGATTTAAACAAAGAAAAGCCCTTATATGACTATATATACACTATAGATGTCTGTGCAGACACAAAAAGGACAAAATAAAGTCAAGTCTAAAATTATGGATATTTTGAATGAGGTTTGGTGCTATCGATGTCTGTGCAGTCGTGAAGGCAGCAGGGTCGCTGAGGTGAAGAAGCTGCAGACAGACAGAAGCACAGCGTGGACAGGTGAAGGTCAGAGGTCAGGCCGGGATAAATACCTGCTGAGACATCGTCTGTCCTCCAACCACGGCGGCGGCGGCGTTTGGAGGAGGAATGTTGGGGTTGAGAGGAGCTCGAGGCAGCCGGGGAGGAATCTGCATCCCAGGACGAACCAGCTTCACAAGAGAATGGACATGAGAGAGGACAGGTGAGCTGCTATCTTCATTTACCTGAGCTGTAGCAGGTTGTGCAGGTACTGAGCAAGCAGGTGATGAGCGGATGACTGTTGCTAATGCAGTTTCAAAATCTTCACACGGAAACTTCAACTTGTTTTTTGAGGAATGTAAAGACCAACTTTGAACACAGCGACTCTGGTCTCAACTGAGAGCTGAAAAAAGAATTGATTTAAGGGATGCTAGTGATTAACCTATTAACTGCCGTAAGCAATTAATAGATGAAAAATGTAGGAACGTCTTAATCCAATCTTAAAGATTAATATTTCAACTGATCTGCAGCAGCTTAAACCTCAGTCTGATCCTTCGTTGTTTTTTGCTGTTGCCATGGTGATGGCGGCGCGCATAGACGCAGCGGCCCCTTCAGGAGACAACGAAAGTGAACGCTTTGAGTGTCTTGTCTATCCCACACGTTCATTCCGCACTACTTGTGGCTGGGAGACTTGCTGGGCGTCAGGACAGTGAACGGCGCTGGAACTGTGGCGATCTGTTGTGATTTGGACATGCTACACCACCACGGAGTCTACGCCGGCAGCTACCCAATGAGGAAGCGCAAACGGTACGCATGTAAACAAAGGAGGACGACGAGAGCTGGGATCCATGCTCGGCTAAAGGCTAACCCCTCCAGACCAGCAGGACAGTCGCTCCTACTCTCCAATGTCCGCTCCCTCCACAACAAGCTGGACGAGCTACATTTGCTGAGAGAAACCCGCAGAGAGCGGAGGGACTGCTGTGTGTTTGCTTTTACAGAAACATGGCTCCATGACAACATCCCAGACGGACGTACAGCCAGTGGCGATTCTAGGTTTTATTTTTAGGGGGGGGCCAATGCTATATTTTGGGGGGCACCCAATTACCGTGTTATTCGCGGATGCAGTCTATGGCAATTTCTTGACAAGTGTTCTTTTCTTGTACTCACATTGTATGACCAGTTGCTTCTTTCAAAAGCAACTCATGACACTTAAACTGATTCACAGTGAAGACTCATGTTAATAACAGTCTGATGGCTCAAGGTAAATTAAAATGATACATACATGTAAATACACACATAAACACAATGCTCTCCTCTTCTATATTAACAATGTTGTTCTTAATTTGCTCTGAGGAATATCTGTCTGTCCTGCTCTGCGTCTCACCTGATGCTGATGATGGGCTACAGCTGCTGGATTGGTCCTGCTTTGGATGCCTGTCCTCAGAACTGTCCCCCTGACCCTGTCTGGGTTCACTGGTCTGACATCTCACATGGCTTCTTCTTAACTCTATTCAGGACTTTTGGGGTCTTTTGGACCCCAGGTCATTTGGTTTAAGTGACAGGTATTGTTTTTTGATCAATTTTTTGTCATCAAAATGTTAAATGATGAGCTAAAGATAGTGGGTAAATCTACGAGTTAAGATAAAACATATCAGTAACTCGTTTGTGTTCAATTTACCGCACGTTTGATTTTGACACTCAACGTCTCAGAGTGTCCCTAAGTGCAAAGTGAAAGTGAGAGAAGAGGTGTGCTTGTTTTATTTTCCAGCTGCTTCCGTCAGGCAGCTAGCTCTGTTTTGTTGGTTAATATATTTTTATGAGCATGTCCTCATCAAGTTGTTTGCCCCATCTGACCCAAATCATTTCACATTTAGCATCTGCTAATTCTGACTCAAAATCTGACACCCTTAACCAAGATACTACGCACGTCATGTCGTGTAGATCAGCTATAGTACCTGGTTGGTCGACAAGGTGGAGCGTCTTGCTGTTTAATACTGTAGAGACCAGAGGAGGCGTCACTCAGACTACAGGCAGTTCATGATGGCAAGCAGAGAGCATCGTGGGAGTTTAGCTAGCTACAGGTACCATGACATAGACATCTGTGGGGGTTAACAACTTCTGAAAAGAGTTTACTCAATACAGCACAGATTCTGATGGCTCCCTCTACCTACACTGCTATGAGTTAACGTATGCGACTGCAAAGCGACTTTAGCAATAAGGGTCTGCAGTTAAAATAGCTCTATTGGTGTATGAAATAACTCCCACTGTACTTCACTATTCTTAAAGATGAATCGATTATTGATTGGAAATGCTGCCAACTACTAGTTACAAAAAGTGTTTAAAATTTGTACCCCCTTTTTAAACCAAAATTTGAAACAATATTATAAGCAAATCACAAAGGCTGCAGTTCAGGGTTAAAGCTGGTCTCAACCAGAGATTAGACTGTGTCTGTGATTTTATAAATTCATGTTGTCCTCCTGGTGTGGTGCTCACACTTTGGTGTCTCATGACTTAACCCTCCATCACACGTTAAATCTTTACATCTATTACACTGTCATTGGTAAAATGAAGCAGCACTTTAATAATTACTGTCAGATCAAAATTAGACATTTTCCCTCAATCATTCATAAATCAAACACAATCAGAAATACTTATATTGATTTTAAAAAAAAAATCTCTGTTCGCTGAATAAAACACTGATCTTTAATGTCAGTGTTCAGCTGAGCGGCGGTGGACTGAAAGCTCTCGGCGATGGTTCTGCTGCTGGATTCAGCGTCGAGTGAGTGGCGGCTGCGCTCTCACCTGTCCAGGTACGGCGGCGGCGTTGAGCTGCGCCTGAGCTGCGGCCTGCTGGGCTTGTTGCTGCGCCTGCTGGACTTGCTGCTGCTGCTGCAAGGCTGCACGGGCCTGCTTTCACACACAGAGGGCAAAGCATGCAAGCAGAGGGAAGGGTGAGGACGACGAGTGCAACCTGCGCCATTTCCTCTGCAGCAGCTCAATCTGCAGCTTCAAACAGCAGGAGGAACCAAAGATGTGCTGCCTTCACAGGTTAAGGTTTATCTAAAGACTGAACAGACTGTAAAATCACACAGAGAAAGTTGAACCACATCTAAAGGCGTCCCTTTAGCTTGCTGAAGCAGCTGTTACATGACAAACTGTTGCCACAAACGGTCAACAGAAACACTCAGACAGGCTGCCATTAACTCCTGTTAGATTTTGGTTTTGTTATTGATTGATAGAAACTGATTAGATTCATGTGAAAGAGACAGGATTTTTTTCCCCAAAACATATCATGACGAAAAGAGCTTCAGCAAAAACACATGCAGCCACAGAAGAACTACAAAACGTTGTCTATAATTTGGAAAAATTTGAATAAAGTCTATTCCCATTGATAGTCTGTGTAACCACACAGGAAATGATGAAGATCAAGTCTTAAATTATGAACAGTTGTGAATAAAACTGAATAAAGTCAAGTGTGAAATTAGAAATATTTTTGAACGAATATGAAGATTTCACCTGAATAAATACTCATCCAAATTGGCAAAAGTTTGAATGAACCTTGGTGGCGTTCGACTACGACGAGGCCAAATCATCCAGCTGTGTTTCTACAGCTGTAGTGGATTAAAGCAGGGCTCCCACATGACTTTACACGACCATCTCACCTGGAAGGCCTGCATCTTGAGCTGCTGCTGCTGCTGCTGGCTCAGAGAGTTGATGGGAACGTGCTGAGCGGACGTCATCTGTCCGGCCAGAGACTGAGGCACCATGCCGGGCTGCTGCTGCTGCTGCTGCTGGGAGTGTGGAGGCATCTGACCCTGCTGAGGCTGAGTCTGGACCGGCTGCTGCACCATGTGCTGGATGGACTGGGCCTGAGCCTGGGCCTGAGCCTGTGCTTGAGCCTGAGCCTGAGCTTGAGCCTGTGCTTGCGCCTGTGCTTGAGCCTGAGCCTGTGCTTGAGCCTGGGCTTGAGCCTGAGCCTGGGCCTGGGCCTGAGCCTGGGCTTGAGCCTGGGCCTGAGCCTGAGCCTGGGCTTGAGCATGCTGTTGTTGCAGCTGCAGCTGCACCATCTGCTGCTGCTGTTGAATCCTCGTCATCTGCAGAAACAGAGACCAAACTGAGTCATCACCAGAGAAAGAGCAGGCCAGCGGTGTGGTTCTAACATCTCAGGTTCTGTTCAGAGGTTGTTATTTGGGACCAAAACTACCTGCTGTGAAATATTTTGACAAAATGTAGTTGTTTTTAAATCTAGCATATTTTGCATTTTCACCTGAAAAGATATTTCCTTGAAAAACATTTTAAGAGTTCAGTGTCTCCAGAAATAGAACTCCAACGGTGTCAGTATGAGAACAGTACGACAAAATGAGCCTCATATGTTGTTAAACTTCCACATGAAAACAACACGGAAGCAGATTGTAACTTCACACATATCACAAAAACATATAGACGCATATGAACAGCAGCTTTTGTTTCCGACCAATGAATCCACGTCAACACTGAGGCAAAATATCAACAACTGAAACACTGTCTTGTTATACTTACTACACACATCAAACTCCACTGATGTTAGAGGCCTCAGTTGTTGGTGAATGTCGACCAAAGACTGTATTTTAGGATAAAATATGGATACATCCATACAAATATGTACACACACACACACTTACAGGAACCTTGTGGGGCCATAATACCACCAAAGTTTGAACAGTCTGCACCATTTTCAAGAACCATTAATTTGGCCTCTGCTGGTTTTTGATAGTGTTGTGCATTAATATCCAGATGTTGACGTCACTAAATACCTACAGAGAGCCGTTTTACCCTCTGCCTGACCGGATATGTGTTGCAGGTATCTGCAACTCAACTAGTCAGAAAGAACATCTCAGATCTCCATGTTGTCTTTCTTCCAGAACAAGAGACGATCCTTCTCCCATTCATGTGTTTCTCATGACAGATATTTACATTTCACTCTGTGGCTGAACTCTGCTTGTAATTCCAGTTTCACATATCTACAGTTTAATTTTCACTCTTCATAATTCCAGTTCCAAATTTCTTTAATTCAGTCACAGATCTATCTTGTCCTTTGAGGTCCTTACATGAAGTGTAAACTGGTCAGAATGAGGAGGTAGAATCCTAGACTGGATTCTGCCTCCTCAGAATGTAACTACAGATGTGTTGGATCAGAGTTTGGACTCTGTGACGTTGCAGATTTCTAGATTTTTGTCAGAGGCTGAGATAATCAAACTCAGCTCATGAATGTTAAACGTCTTTACAGCCAGGTGAGGATGTTCAGTGGTGTTGTGTAGTGGTGTGTTCACTGTGAGCACCTGGTTCTGCTGCTGCTGGTTCTGGGCCTGCTGCTGCTGCTGGTTCTGGTGCTGCTGCTGCAGTTGCTGGTTCTGGTGATGCTGCTGTTGCTGCTGCTGCATTTGCTGCTGTGCCCGCAGCTGCTGCATCTGGAACTGCTGCTGAATGGCAGCGTTCTGCTGCTGCTGCATGGCATTCTGCTGCTGCGCCTGTTGGAACTGCTGGAACTGCAACGCATTCTGCTGAGCCTGCGTCTGCTGCACCATCTGCTGCATGGGCATCTGGCCTGGACCTCCTACTGCAGAGTGAGGAAAAGGACGTGAAGGACTGACCCAGTGTGCAGCTCAAACCAGGCTGAGGAGAGCTCAAACACACAACGTGCCGAAGCAGAGACTGAAAATCAGAACTGAGGCCAGAATGAGCTGTTTAGCAGCAGCCAGCATCCACTGAACTTCATGTGCATTTACAGCAAACACACACATGGAGGAAACACTCACTGGATTGTGGGTTTCCAGTCACCCCTGCCATGGCATGCTGGCCTATCTGCATCGGCCCCATGGCCCCCATGCCACCCACTGGAGCGCCGGCAGGGCGAGGCCCCATGCCAATGGCGCCCGGGCCCCCTCCAACCCCTGTCAGGTTAGTCAGGGCATTCATGGGATCTAGCAGAGGGGTAGACAACAGACAATATTACGCAGCTCCATCATGCACAGCAGAAATCAAGAACGCCATGAGTCTGAAGTGACAGGTCCAGCAGAGGACAGAACACAGCGAGGAAATGAAAAGTGGACCAAAGAGGGACGACGTCCACCTACCTGGACCCCCAAGAGCCTTCTTATCTGTGGAGACACAAGTGACCAATCACAGCCGTGTTTACATCTGATCTGAGCAACACAACACTGTTTGAGTCACAAACAAACAAAAAAATTGTCAACAAATCAATTATTTATCAGAAAATTCATTGGCAGCTGTTTTGATAACTGATAAACTGCTAAATGAGTCTTTTCTAAGCAAAGCGACCAACAATTCTCATTCCAGATTATCAAATGTGACGATATGAGGGTTTTCTTTGCTACACGTGACAAACTAAAGTGACACTAAATTATGTTAAAATTGTAAAGAACCTTTTATCTGATTAATCGACCAGCTGAACACAAACAAAACAGGCCGATTGATTTCTGTCTTTGTGATCAGATGTTCAGCTCAGCCTCATGTCACCGGAGTCAGGCCAAGGTTAGCTTAGCTTAGCATAACGACTGGCAGCTGGTAGAAACAGCTAGCATCCAGAGCTAACTGAGCACTCGTATGAGATGAAAGTGGCAAACAGCTCTGGTGATTCACAGAATGAGAACTTCAACTGATGCGGTTTTACTCCTCTTATGTTGCACTGATTGAAAACTAATCTGATTGGCTTCGGTTATTGATCTGATTCTAATAAGTGGAGATTGTGACTTACGGATGTCTCTGAAGTGTATGATGAGCCTTGCCACTAGAGATAAATACTCCTCCTGGAAAAACAGAAGACATCATCATGAGGAAGATTCCACTTGTAATGCAAGTCAATGAGATGAAAGGACAGTAAAAACAACAATAAGGTCTGGTGTCCTTGAATTAGTCATTTACAGCACATTATAGTGTAAACAACAAAAACCTAATACAGGAAACACAAAACCACCACACATAGACGTAAAACTCCCACAAAAAGGCACAAAAGGGTCATGCAGGGACAAAAAACAACCACAAAGAGACACAAAATAACAACAAAGTCAAAAATATACCACAAAGATACAAAAAATATGCAAAACAACCACAAAAAGACGCAAAGAAAACACAGACACAAAACAACATGATGACAAAGCAACACAAAATAGCCACAAAGAGACACAAAACTCCCACAAAGACACTAAACTTTGACAAAAAGACATAATATGACCACAAAAAGACACAAAAACTCACTCTAGTTTTTGCCTTCACATAAACATGGTTCTCCATGTCATTGCTGGACTTGTGTGTTGTGTTTGCAGTTCCAGCTTTTCGCATCGCCTCTTCACTGGAGGAAAACACACAAATGATTATTTTACTAAGAAAACACACTCAAATTACTTTATAGAAAACCAATTTTTTTTCATCCACATTTCATATTTTTTGCCTTTTCGGTTGTTTTTGTGTGTAAATTCTGGATTTATTGATCACAATAAGACCTTCATCTCTTTCCTTTCTTTGTTTCCGTGTTACTTTGTGGTATACAAATGACTGGAGTGATTATCTGGTTAGAAAATCTGCCGCAGATTCCAGTTACGCCGTTTTAAATTTAAAATGTGAATATTTATTGTTTTCTGCAGGAAAAAAAAATTTCTTTGGGTAACAATTAACTGCAGCCCTGACATTATGTGTTTGTTTAGAGATATGGAGTTACTTCAGTGGAAGCAGCACAAACCACAGAAATATTCAATTTACTGATGCAAAGAAACACAGAAAATCCTACAATTTGGGAACCTGTGAATTTTTTAAATATTCTTTCTTTGTAAAGTACTGAGAAAATTATTCCATTTTCAAAAATAATTTTCCGTCAATTAATTGTGGCGTATTAAAATCACATGCCAAATACATGTCTTCTTGTTGAATACACGGGTAAACACTGCACAGCATATAACAGATTAGATACAGTTGAAACCAGAAGTGTACATATGCTGTATAAAAGACACAAAAACTTTTTTGTTCTCACTGTCTGACATTAAATGTGACGAAACTTTTCCTGTTTTAGGTCAGTTAGGATTACCAACATTATTTCTATTTGCTAAACGCCAGAATAATGAGAGAGAGAATTTTTTTTATTACTTTCTTTGCATTGCCTTTAAACTGTATGACTTGGGTCAAATTATTATAATTATAATTATTATTATTATCATTACTGAATGAATTCTGGCCCATTCCTCCTGACAGAACTGGTGGAACTGAGTCAGGTTTGTAAGTCCCCTTTTCAGTTCTGCCTACAAATTTCCTACAGGACTGAGATCAGGGCTTTGTGATGGTCACTCCAAAACATTGACTTTGTTGTCTTGAAGCCACTTTATAACAAATCTGATTAATTAGAGATTAATTTCTAATTTTACAACAATAATGACAAAAAGAATATGACATCAGGTAACGGAATATCAATGAAAACACATTTTATTATTATATTATATCGATTATTCATTGCTATAAACTCTTTAGTTAGGAGGAGGACATAGTATAGTTTTATACCAGAAGCCGATCCACTCAAATTATTAATTATTTTGAGATATTAATTGTGTTTTGGGACTTTCTGGCCCTGTGATAGACTGGTGACCTGTCCAGGGTGTCCCCTGCCTTCGCCCTAAGTCAGCTGGGATAGACTCCAGCCCCCCCGCGACTCTAGTGAGGATTAAGCGGTGTATAGATGATGGATGGATGGATGGATGGATGGATGGATGGATGGATGGATGGACTTTCTGGCTCAACTTTCTCCTCAGCAGCATCTCTTCTCCTGGACTATTTGAAGGCTCGCTCACCAAAATGAACATGAAATAACATTAATGAAAACTAGTTACACATGATTATAGCCGTAAATCCTCCTACATCAGACTAACAGACACAGCTACAGAACCGCTGGTCCAGATGTCCTGCTCTCGCTGGACTGAGCAGTGAGAAGACTAAAGCTCTGAAGGCTCACGTTTTACTTTCGTTTTTCTCTGAAATGATGTGAAACTTCAGTTCAGTTATGAGTGTATAATCCAAAGACTGACCCACAAGGGGAGGATCCTACAAACTCCTGAGTTTAATACCAGTTAATTCTGGAATATTACAGTGGTTTTTTTTTGCTGCTGTTTTTTTTTTAATTAACTGAGGCTAAAACCATGGTTAACTGTAACTGTTGTCAAAACTGATCAGCTTTAGCAGCTATTGATGCTAAGAACGAAATTTGACATAACTTTCGCTTACACCGACATTTAGTACGACTTATGTATGTCGAATTAAAAACAAATGTGTGGCTTATAATACAGTAAATACAAGTTATATCTCATATGTGAAACTTTTACGTTGCATATATTGGGAATATTGTACATACTGAACATAAAATATGTCATTACTTTTATGGTGATGCTAGAAATTTGCATATACCGTCCTCTATAAGAGAGGAAAACAGCATTACGTTGTCGTATATACACGTATAAAACTGTGAAATATTACATGTGTTTATATAAAGTGTTAATACACGATTATTACGATGATGCTGATCAGTCAAAGTTAAACGGAGTTAACTGTAACCGCTGTATGAAGTGATTAGCTTCAGCAGCTAATAATGCTAATAATGAAACTTGACAGAAATTACCGCTAAAACGTTTTTTTAATCAATAAATCTACGCCGAATTAAAGAGTGAACCGGGGTGGGATTTAGTTTAGGACCAGGGCTGTTCGTGGGCCCGTGCTTTTATTTTTTATCGTTTTACTAATTGTTCTTAATTTGCTATTTCTTACGCACGGTTTGACCTGACGTTGCTCCGAGCTGAGCTAACGTTAGCTTAGCTCATTCGGCTAACACAAACAGTGACTGAGCGCCCGAGAAGCGACATTCAAGCGACGTTTCTTACATCTGAGCTACGACTTTCTGTCGGAACTGCGGGCTCCTCCAGTCGCTGTCCGGTCCGGGGACTTCCATGCCTGGAATCACTCTGTGGAGGATTTGAAGTGGAACTGTTGGATGTTTTCGCTCCGGTCCTCCTTCTTCAGCTGCGGGGGGAAATGGCGCTGCTGCGTTCATGTTAACGGACGGTGGCGCCGCCTGCTGGACGGACAGACAACTGCACTGCAGCTGCTTCAGACACATTTTCGGATGCTGAGGGGCCCAGCATCGTGGAACCCAACTCACTCTGAAGCCATTTTGTTTCTCTTTGTGGTCATTTTTTTGTCTCTTTGTATCTTGTTGTCATGATTCTGTGTCCATTTGTGGTGGCTCTTAGTGTTTTTGTGCTTGTTTTTTGTCTGTTTGTGGTCATTTTGCATCTTATTGTGGTTGTCGTGTGTGTTTTTGTGATCGTTTTGTCTCTTTTTAGCTGTTTTGTGTGTCTGTGGTGGTTTTTGTTTTCTGTTTTTGTCTCATTTAAGTTATTTTGTGGCTCTTTTTGGTCGTATTCTGTCTTATTGTGGTTGTTGTGTGTGTGTTTGTGGTGGTCCATTGTCTCTTTGTAATTGTTTTATGTCTTATTGTGTGTGTGTGTTTTTTCTTACCGTTTGGCCATCTTGGTTGTTTTATGTGTCTTTGTAGTCATTTTGTGTATTATTGTGGTTGTTTTGTTTCATTAAAGCCATTTTGTGTCTTGTTGTGGTGATTTTGTGTGTCTTGATGGTCATTAAGCATCTTATTGTGGTTGTTGTTTGTGTCTTTGCGTGTCTCTTTCTGGTTGTTTGTATGATTTTGTGGTGGTTTTAGGCATCACAAAATAAACCCGACTGAAACACAGTGAGGTGAGTCTCAGATAAACATTTTGTTGGTGTTTCGACCTGATAGTGTTTCTAAGCTCAGTGTGTTTAATAAAAGCTGCTGTGTAAAAATCATGCAACAGATACAACAAACAGATTAAAGTCAGCCACATGTTTAGTTTTTGTACTACTGAATGACTTATTAATTCAGACTCTTTTCTATATTTTCTCAATGACTCAATCAACACAGCATGTGACATAAAGAATCTTAATGAATCCTGCACATTGTCTCTGATGGTCGACAGGTCATTTGTTTGACTACGTGTATTTTTACCATTTGAAGTCATTTTACGGTCTGTGATCACACTGCCTCAGTATCAGAGAACTAAACTACAATCAAACATGATTATGAAACCTGTCTCTTTAGCAAAGCAAAGACTGACTGAAAACATCTTCTATTCGTCACCCCTGACAAATCTTTTAAAACATTCATCCATCCATTATCTATACACCTCTTAATCCTCACTAGGGTCGTGGGGGGCTGGAGTCTGTCCCAGCTGACTCAGGG